AGTGAGGGGTTTCAGGATTAGGGTTTAGAGTTTATGGTGCATTCGCATGGGTTGAGCATACCTCAGTGGGTCCGTTCGCGGAACCGGAATTGGAATTGGCAAAATGGCTTGAGCATATGAGGTTGGGAGTTAAGAGCTCTGAGGGGGTCAGCCCGGTGCGCTCATGGTTCGGGTGGAAGCAACTTCGAAGGTTGCTACAGCGGAAGTCAGGCATGCTCTGAAGATGTTCCTTGCGCCGCAGTCCCAAGACCTAAATCCTGAACCCCATATGCAAAACGTTACTGTAGACCGCTAGTTGGGCATTGCCATGAACCGTAAACCCTTAACCCTGAAACCTAAATCAACCCCAAATGCTAAACCTCAATGCCCCCAAGCCCTTGTAAGCTTAGAACCCCGCTTCCGACATTCACAGCCAAAACCTCAAAAAAAGAAGCATAAGCCCTAAACCCTAAACCCTAAACCCTCAAAAAGAAGCACTGGAACATCAGATGCATCGTTGCTGGAGCCTGCCCTCCACACGCCCGGCGCAGTGGAGATGGTGGAAGGCATCAGGGTTTAGGGTTTAGGGTTTAGGGTGTAGGGTTTAGGGTTTAGGGTTTAGGGTTTCTTCCAGGTGTTCGACAGCCGTGGCTTGTCATCCTAAAGCACAGCTCGTTATCAGGGCACTGTTGCTGTTGGAGTGTGTGTTGGGCTCCAACATTTTAGGGAAAAGTCACCGAAAATAGCAAAGCGGCAACATAAGATCGTTGCTGAACACGAACCCTAAGCCCCTAAACCCTAAACCCGTAAACCCTAAACCCTACTTGGCATGTAGGATTCAGGGCTAAGGTTAGCGGCTTGCTGTTCGGCGTGCTTTCATGCAGCGGCTTCATTATATGTAGGTCTGAACAAGTCTGTCTAAATACTTCATAGTCGTATCATAGAAGAACCCTGTAGTGAAATCCTATGAAACCCGACGAAGCCCAATAAACCGAAGCCCTGCAACAAAACAGCGAAGGCAAATTCCGTCCGCCCTCAACCCCATGCTCCTAAACCCTAAACCCTAAACCTTAAGCCCTAAACCCTTAAACCCTAAAACTTAAACCCTAAACCACTAACCCCTAAACCCCGAAACTCTAAACCCTGAAACCCTAAACCCTAAAACCCTAACCCCAAAACCCTAAAGGCGAATCCTTGAGGAGGCCCTTCGCGGCCTTCTCCTCGCATCCCTCGCCGCAGGCTCCACGCAGGGCACCTCGCATGACTTCTACGCTCTGCCGGGGCCGACAGTACACCAGGTTCCCAGCATTCCGGGAGAATCCAAAAAGTAAAGGTTTAGGGTTTAGGGTTTCAGAATTCCGGGAGGATCCAAAAAGCACCCTAACCTACCAAAACCTACTTTTTTGCAGGGCCCCTATAAATTGCATATGAAGGTTTATAATAAGACCCTACAAAAAAGTAGGGTTTGGTAGGTTCAGGTAAGGGCTTAGGCTCTTAGTAGTTCAGGCTCCCAGCAAACTAGGGGTGCTACTTTCCAGATCCTTTCGGGGTCTGGGTAGGGTCAAGGATGGTGGACGGTTTAGTTAATGGTTCAGGGTTTAGTGGCCGGGAGTGTGAAATCCAAACCCCGACCAGCCTCATTCCTATGCTTCCTCGGATTGTTGTTGCGATGATTGTTCTTGTCAACCGTGGCAATAGTTGTGGTGCTGGTAGTGGTGGTGTTGGCGGCAGTGGTAGTGGAAGCGACTCTTCCGGGATCTCACGCCTATGGGTGCTGCGAGGTGTTTTGAAAGTCTATAGGGTTTTGCAGCAGTGGATCGTATAGTAGCAGCTTCGAGAACAGGGCTTAGGGTGCACCTGCTGTTGCAGGCCTTGTTTCCCTTCCAAAGGGATCTCGAGTTAAACGAGTCTCCCAGGAAGAAGGTTCGGGGGTTTATGCGCCGAGGGAAGTTGCGAGTTTGAAGGGTTGAAGGTAAGGGTGCTAAGAGCTTACAGTAGAAGCCCAAAAGTTGGAAACCCAATAGCCTCAATCCTTAAGAGTAATGTATAGGGAATCCCAGCACTATTTGGCCTTAATCCGGTTTCCAACTTTATGGTTCTACTTCAAAAACCCTATGGATCCCTTAAAGGAACCCTAAAGATGCCTCATAAAGGAACCCTAAAGGTCCCTTAAAGGAACTGTAGGATTACTGTAAAGATGTTCAGGCTTCGAAGTTTGTGGTTCGGGGTTAGTTCCATGCCTCGATGCAAGAGAGCAAACGCTTGCGCAAAGGATTTAGGGTTTGGTTTCGGGTTTGGGCTTCAGGGTACAGGATTTTTGGGTTTTGAGCTGAACCCTAAACCCTAAACCCTAAACCCTAAACCCTAAACCCTAAACCCTTATTTGAGCTTAGGGTTTAAGCTTTTGGGGTTTCGGGTTCGGGGTTCGGGGCTTGGGGCCTTGATGCTTCAAGGTCTAGGCTTTGTGCAGTCTGCGTGGTGGTTTCGGAAATTTGGGAATGGATGTGGGGCCCTTCAAACGTCAGAAGCCTCAAGGGCCAGAGGTAAAGGCCCTGAGCACACACACCCAAAGCCTAAACCCTAAACCCTGGCCCTAAACCCAAAAGATCTGAAGCAACCACAACTATAAGCCTCATGCTTGAGACAGAACTTTGGCTTGAACATGTTGTTCTCGTCGAGGCGGAAAGGCGTCGACAAAAACCGAAGCGAATTTGAAACCCCAAAACCCTAGAGCCCCTAAATCCCTAAACGAGCCGAACTAACCGAGCTCCCATTCACAGTGCCACCTACCCGTGAATTATAAGAATGTATATATCTTAAACTATGTAGTGCTTCATTTAAGGTACATCGGCTGCATCAAGGCATGTTGAATACTTAATGTAGACCGGTGATTAACAAGCCACCTTGCCTCAGTAAGGATTGTACTCGGGGTCTTGGTATCGAGGCTCTCAAAGCGAGTATTTTTCTAACCAGTTGTTTGGGTACGGCCCCCACTCAGCAGTAGTTGAATAATATGCACAGTATAGATATATGAGGACCTTAATAGTAGCCCTATTATAGACTCTTACTGTAGGCGAGCAGTACCTAACCAGTTGTCTAAATTGTTCAAACTTTGCAAGGCACGTAGAAATTCCAAGCAGCCCTTGCGAAGGCGACGAACATGATTACTATACCTTAACCTACCAAACCCTACTTTTTTTGTAGGTTCTTATTGTAAACCTTAATATGGAATTTATGGGGACCCTAAAAAAGTTAGGCTTTGGTAGGTTAGGGTAGGGGCCTTAATAATTACCTATACTATTTGGGGGTTCCGTTTCATGACTATACCAAAACGTACACCAAAACCCTATTCTTTTTGTTAGGGACCCTATAGTATAAGCTCTCATAAGCCCGAAGACCCCATAAGCAAGATGCCTAGAAATTCATACAAGACTCTTAAAATCCCACAGCTCCTTAACTAAACCCTAAACCCTAAACCCTAAACCCTAAACCCTAAACCCTAAACCCTAAACCCTAAACCCTAAACCCTCACTGAACGGGGATCCGGGGCTCTCCCTCAAACCCTCAAACCGGCCAACGCCTCCAACCCTCAAGCCCGACACCCCTTAACGGTAAACCCGAAGCCCTAACCCTAAACCCCAAGTCATCAACCCTCAAACCCTCACACCCTAAACGGGCCTCAACCCTTACAGGGAACTCCAGAAAGTTGGAATATGGATTAATGGTAGGATCCCCTATTATTTACCTTAAAGGGGTTCCGATAATGATATTCCAACTTTCTGGCTTCTACTGTAAACGGTAAGCCCGAAGAACCCCAAAGAGCCCCCGAAGAAGCATCCAAAGCATCCCTGGCCGAGGCCGGATGCCCAAGGCTGAGATCTCCAGATTGGCGTAGGGCAGTTCTGGTAGAAGCCAAAAAGTTGGAAACCCAATAGCTTCAGTCCTCAAAAGTAATGTATAGGGAATCCCAGCACTATTTGGCCTTAAACCGGTTTCCGACTTGATGGAGGTTACTGTATGGTAGAAGCCAGAAAGTTGAAACCCTAAAGCCTAAACCCTAAGCCGATCCTCATGCCACTAAAGTCAAGTTTAGGGGATCCCGGCACTAATCATCCTAAAATCCATGTTCCAACTTTCTGGGGATCACTCTGCTTTCAGGGGCTTAGAGGGAACTTCGGGCTTCTGCGGTTCGGGACGTTTAGGGTTTAGAGCTTACCCCAAGGGTCCAAAGGACCCCATAATTAGGCACTCGGTTTTGGGATAGTAGTTATGTGGGTTAGGAGTTTGGAGAGTATATGATTATTGGGTACTTGGACCCCTGGGGTTAGGGAACGCTTTCCTTTGGGGATTGTGGCTTTGAGGGACTAGGGTTTAGGGTTTGGAGCTTAGGCAACTCAGGGAACTTCGGGTGTTTCGGGTTCCAGAGTTTGGGATTTAGTGGCTTTGAGGAGCGGAGGGGGGCTAATTCGTACAGTCACAGGTTTTGTGATCGCTGTAGTTTAAAGATTAGGGCCTAAAGCTGTGAAACTAAAGTGATCCCAAAAGTTTAGGGAGTTTGTAAACCCTAAACCCGAAACCCTAAACCCTAAGCCCTAGACCCTAAACCCTAAACTGTAAAAAAGAAGCAGCGGTCTCCGGTATAGCAGCTGTCTCACAATCCTCTGTTAGATGTTCAGTTTTCCTGGCCTTGCCTGCTGACCGGCAGGGCGATGCACCATGCCGCGGAAAAGAAGCGTCCTTTGGGCTTTCCTTCTTGTGTGAAGTAGGGCTAGGTAGGGACCAAATTCTTTCAAAACCTGAGCCCAAAACCACACCCTCTCCCTCTCCCATTCCCTTTCCCTCTAAACCCAGATCCAGAAAGCCATGATCTTCTGATTCTACCTGCAAGACGCCGAAAATCGACAAGGAAGCCTTGAAAGCATAGGGTTTTGGGTCCATCATGCAATAAAGAAGCCCCAGAATAGTAGAGGTAATTGTTGAGGCCCCTGCATTAAACGAAACCCGAAAGCGTAGCACTCAAGGCCAGAGAGACCTTGTCCACCCTCGAGGCCGGACCTGCCCCTCAGGTTTTTGGAGGGTTTGCATACGGCTTTGAGTTTAGGGTTTAAGGTTTAGGGTTTAGGTTTTGGGGTTTAGGTTTAGGGTTTAGGGCTTCATGGATCCCTGAACCCTCATTAGAGGACCGGCCGCCTCCCGGATGCCAGTTTGTCTCGGCTAGGCTTTGGGGTTTTGGGCGTGCGGTTTAGGGGTTCAGGGTATGACTTAGGGTTTAGGGTTTAGGGGTATGGGGCTGTGGGCTCACCCAGGAGCCCGATATCCCCCGAGTCAAGATTTCATCAACCTTCAAGGGCTTGTGGCCTGGGGGCCCCCTATAAACGCCTATTACAACAGAGCCTGTAGTTGAAGAATATGCTTTAAACTGCCTTGAGCTTCTATTCTTGTTATACTTCAAGGCATCTTCCGTGATTGAGTTGTACATGCACGGCAGACCTTACAAGAGCTCATTAAGTTTGAGGTGTCGCCAAAGTGAAAGGTGTTTAACATGGGCTTCGATGTAGAAACCCAAGAAACCATTACAGCACCTCATTCAAAGGCCTTATCGGCAGCTAGCACTCCTTGTTCTAGAGGGTAGGGTTGGGCTCTCTACACACTGAATCTAAACTTTAAACCGTCTTAAGCCCTAAAGCCTGAACCTGAAGCCCCGAACCCAAAACCAGAGCCCTCAACCCCTACACCCGCGTGGGCTCTTTGGACAGCTGCCAGGAGCAGATTGCCGTGAAACGGAAGCGCGTCGCTGATTTGCAGGCAGCTGGCTAAACAGACGCCTAAGCCCTCAGAAACGTCCCTCAGGAGGGGCTTGGGGTTTCTGCTTCCTGCCCAGAGAGCTCATACCCCTTAATGTAGCAATATAGTTTAAATCATAATATGAAGCCCTATATAATTGAAGCCATATTCCTTAATTGAGGGGTATTGGAAACCCTAATCCCTACAGATCCGTTTTAGATCCCTTTTAAAGGAACCCTAGCCATATTCTTTAATCAAGGGGTATTGGGCTCTCTGGGTGTGGTTTGGGGGAGTGATAGGGCCGATAGGGTTTAGGGTTTCCTTGAGGGATCACAGGATTGAGGAAAGTCCCAGAGACTCCAATACCCCTAATTAAGGAATATACTCTAAATTATAGTAGGATCCCCAATATGATTTAAGGAATATTCCTTAATGAAGGGGTATTGGAGTCTCTGGGGTCTGCAAAACCTGCATACCAAGCCTCCGAGTAGCGGACCCGAACTGAACTTTGAGTCTTTCGGGGTTGGTCATGGGTTTGCAGCTTTCGGGTTTAGGGCTTGAGATTTAGGTTTTGGGGTAGGGTTTACTTGAAGGCCCAGGGGACTTAGTACGTAGATTATAAGTAGGATTATAAGTACCCTAATTGAAGTTGCTCAAATGATAACCCTACTTATAACCTGCTTACTAAGTCCCCTGGGCCTCCAAGTAGGGCGGCCCCAATTATAACCCTACTTATAACCTGCTTACTAAGTCCCCTGGGCCTCCAAGTAGGCCTTGAGGCTTGGGGTCAAACCCCTAAACCCCTACACCCCTAAACCCCTAAACCCCTAAACCCTTAAACCCTTAAACCCCTAAACCCTTAAACCCTTAAACCCCTATACCCCTAAACCCTAAAACTGGGGGTTTGCTGTTTGGGCCTTCAGGTTTCGGCTCTATCGCTGGCGTTTCGGGGGTTTGTGAGGCCGAGGGTCCCCGAAACCCGAAACCCTAAACCCCAAGCCCTATACCTTAAAGCGTCCACCCTAAACCCTAAGCCCTTTAAACCTAAACCTTCGGCCTTAAATCCCACACCCAGAACCGAAACCCTAAACCCTTGAACCAGAGATCCGAACCTCGAAACACGAAAGGCCCGAAACCAAACGCTTTCGCAGACGTCCGCTCCTCAGGCGCAGCTCGCGGAGCAGCGGCTACGCGAGATCCGGGACGCTGAGGAAGTGTTACTATGACGTGTGGGGTTTTGGGTTACGGCTACTGGAAGTTTAGCATAAGGGATACAAGAAGGGTTGTAAGCGCTTGGTTCCAGAAGGAGTTGAGTGTTCACGGTTTATTTATCCAAGGGTAAGAGGAGGGACGAGGGACCCTTAATAAGGACCCCTAGGTATATACCCTTAATCCTTAATATAGCTTGTATATACCCATTATGTAGCCCATTATAGGGTAGGGGTACCCATTAAGGGTCCCCCCTTTTCCCCTTTGAATCTAGGTGTGTAGGGTTTGGGATTAAGGAGTGAAGGTTGACAGTTTGGGCTTGCCAGCGGTTTCCTTGAACTCCAAACTCCAACCGGCGACTTCCGCCCGGATTTTCTTTGTGTTTAGGGTATAGAGTTTAGGATATATGATTTAGGGTTTAGTACCGTGTTTCGGGTGTAGAGCCTAAAAACGCACATCTAAGCCTACAGCGGTTACTGGCGATTTCGCCGTGTGGTCTACAACCTGAACCCATAGGCCCCATAGTCGTTCCTTTTTGGGATACCCTTATAGAACTCTAAATTTATGAACCCCAAAACGGAACTGAACCTCTTCCGATCGATGCGAATACTGCTTGACGGGCGACCTGCTTCTGACCCTAGTGTAATCCTTACAACGAAGGTAGTTGAAAATTCGGATGCCGCATGTAGCGACAATCGCACGGAATCCGGACGCCTAAACCAGTTGCATTGGACTTCCCGCACTGCGCCGTTTTGCTCGCTGATGGCTAGGCGACAAGTGGCGGAAGCTTGCGAGAACGCTGCACCGTCTGGTCCACTATCCAGACAAGATCCCCATCTTTGTCGGAGCTTCGGTGGCTCAACCCGTCGGTGACACCGAGGTTGTGGCTCGGCAACCCTATATACCCTACTCTTGGCGATGCGAGCAAATGTGAGAAAGCCACGGGAGCCCCGGAAGCGTTTCGATTCGTTAGCCCGAACGGGGTCAGCACACCACACATCAAGGACGAGGTGTTCACGCATGCTTTGCGAGATCTGAGAAGTGGGTGGCTGGTGGACCGATTTGGATGCTTGGCCGCTGCAGAATCCCAAGGGCGCTCCAAGACTGCCTGGTCCTGCATCTGGTTCTTAGCAGGGAATGGGGCAATGGATCCCTATAGTAGTCCCTATATAATCCCCAATAACTGTCCCCATAACCCACTTCCCCCATTCCCTACTAAGAACCAGACAGAATACTCCGCCGCCATGGCCAGGAAGTTTCACGAGGCCGCGAGCTGTCAGATTGGAATACCCAGAGACTCCAAAACCATAGGAATAATGGTCCCAAAGCCCTATTCTAATTTTTAAGGCCCCGAAAGTAGGCCTTATAAGCTTCATAAGCTCTAAGCGAAACCTCGACCTTAAACTTAAACCCTGCCTTGAGCCCCAAATCCTTTCCTAGTAGTAGAGTAGGCAACCTTGAACCTTCTCTGGGTAGTATAGTCCCTATATAACCCCTATATAACCAAAAAGGTTAACCTTTAGTTCCCCATGATACCCGACAAGAAGGCTATACTTCAAACAGTGAGCCCTAAACCCTTTGGCCCGGAAGCTCTAAACTCCTTTAACTCCCTAAACTCCCTAAACCTGACTGCACTAAGTTCTAACCCCAAACCCTAAGCCGCCCTAAACCCTAAACTCTATACCCCAAACCTTAAACCCCAAACCCTAAACCGCCCTAAACTCTCGGTTTGGAGGAGGCCAGCACGCCACAGGAGTCAGCCCAGGCGCCTTCGGAAGTAGAGGCAGCGACCCCGGTGGGCTTCAGCAGTGGTTTACGGTTTAGGGTTTAGGGTCTAGGGGTGTGTGTTTGTGCTTTTTGTTTTTAAGAAATGGGGGTGGGGCTTGGGGTTCGGGCTCAAGTGTTTTGGCATTCAGGTGGTTGGGGGCTTTAGGGGTTTACCGTTACCGTAGAGATTTTGGGCTTAGGGTTTGGGGCTTCAGCGTTGGGATTTAGGGGTTCGTTTCAGTGATTCGAGAGCCAGATCGATAAAACGGAAAACGACGGTGGTGGCATCCTTCACAGGAAGGTTTGAGAAGCAGTCAACACAGGCAAAACACAAGCTAAGGAGTACTACGGTTGATGATATAAATCCTGCACTACCTTAAGGACCCTAAACTATGGGAATTATGGTACATTCCTTATTATGGGTAATGCAGGATTTATATCATCAACCGCATCGATGGTAGTATTTGGTGTCGGGCGTATGGTTTGGAGCTTGGAATTGGCAAGAGGTCGACTTTTCAAGTAACCGGAAGCAGGGTGGTGATCACCGACAGGTGAGGCGATACTGCTCCATCTGCCCTGCTTGGGCCTGAACCCTAAACCCTACACCCTAGACCCCAAGCGCTAGACCCCAGACCCCAGACCCTGGACCCTCAACCCTACTTGGAGGCCCAGGGGACTTAGTAAGTAGGTTATAAGTAAGGCGATAATTCGGGTAACTCCATTTAGGGTACTTACAACCGTACTTATAACCTACTTACTAAGTCCCCTGGGCTTCCAAGTAAGCCACTATAACCGAGGTCAACTCACCGGTCGGGAGCGAGCGAAGGCAAGCCGGGGAAGACAGAGACTGGACGCGGGTGCGGGAATTTGGAATTGTCTAGCCCTGGGTTTAGGGTTAAACCTGGGCTTCATGTTTTATTCAGAATCATGTCGGCGCTACAAGGGGATAGCAGTACCAATGATTCAGGCTTCTTCCTCGTATGACAATACTTGAACAGCGTTCATCAGAAGGTCGCCCGGATTTCATGCGGATAACTTTGAACCCGCAAAACTAAGTCTTTCAGACATCAGACGTGTCCTTTCAGGGCGATCGTTCGTTGCTTGCGCACGGGTCTTGGGGGGACCCGTAGTCCTGTAAACCTCAAACCCGGAACTCTAAAACCTTAAACCCCAAGCCGCAAATCCCAAACCCTAAACCCGACACCTGCGTCGACTCCCCCGAAGACAGTTAGCAATGCACGCGATTGGCCTTCACTTCCCTGTTCTCCACGCCTAGACACATCATCCTAGCCCGTAGTCTGCAGCAAGCATACCTTGAGATTCAGAAGCCACGAAGGGATGCTCCAAAGCCTAAGGCTATGTCGGACATTGAGGCTGAGGCTATTCGGGTTTGTATGGGCTTAGGTGAAGCTTTAAGAATGTCCTAGCTCGAAAGCCCTGTGAAAGGTTTTCGATATAGGTGTCTTAATAATTACCTCTATTGTTGTGGAGGTTCTTTATTGTGATTGCAGTAGAATTGGCCCAAAACCCCATTCTACTTATTCAGGCCCCTATAGTACGTTGAAGAAGCTGTCAGTCTCCCCTGGAGGATAAACGAAGGCCTGCATAGATTCTGCAATCAGGGCCCACCGGTTGCCAGAAACCTGTTGGACCCCCTAGACCCCAACCCCCCCTCAACAAAAATCAGAAACCCTTAAACCCTAAACCCTAAACCCTTAAACCCCTAAACCCTAAACCCTTAAACCCGTAAACCCTAAACCCTTAGACCCTAAACTCTAAACCCTTAAACCCTTAGACCCTAAACTCTAAACCCTTAAACCCTAAACCCTAAACCCTTAAACCCCTAAAGCCTAAACCGCCCTAAACCCTCAAACCCCAATACCTCAAAGCTCCAAGCCCTGAAGCCCTGAACCCAAAGTCTCTGAGTCCCAAAACCCCCAGCCCTAAAACCCTAAAGCCCTGAGGCCCTAAAGCTCCACAGCCCCGCAACTTCAAGAATCCGAAATGCCGAACATTACAGCCTCCAGTGCTTAGATCCTGAAAACCTGAAACCCAAGGCGGATTAGGGTTTAGGGTTGGGCCGGCTGGGCTCAGGGTTTAGGGTCTAGGGTCCCCGAAGCCCCACCACAGCCTAACCCGTGGTAGGCACCATCGAACTCAGAGCCCACCCCTAAACCTTATTAAACCCTAACCCCAAAACCCAAAACCCTAAACTCAAAACTCAAAACCCAAAACCCGAAACCCAAAACCCGAAACCCCTCAAAGGCCACTGCTGGAGACCGCCTCCTCACCGCCCCCGTCGCCTACTTCACCTGCCTCCCCGGCATCGCCACAAGCACCTCCGTCCCCAGCCGGGCTCTTGGCTTAGGGTTGTTTAGGGTTTAGGGGTTAGGGTTATTAGGGTTTAGGGTTTAGGGTTTGGGGTTATTAGGGTTTAGGGTTTAGGGTTTGGGGTTATAACGGTTTAGAGTTTGGGCGTTAGAGTGTAGGATTGAGGGTTTAGGGTTTTGGCTTTAGGGTTTAGAGTTTAGGATTCAGCGACTCCGGATCGAGCTGTCTCTAGTCGGGACTGGCTGTGTGGATCCAAGTAAAATACAGAGCCACCCAGGAGCCCTAAACATTGAGAAACCTAATTTTTCATCAATCCTAGAGCTTAGATCCTAAACTCTGAGAACTACATCCTGAAATTTCGAGCTTAAACTTTACACCCTAATCAGCGAACTGTAGTAGCCCTATGATACGATCCCAGAATATCCTTTAAGCTAATGTTAGCGACCTCCGGCCCTGAATCCTACTCTGAACCCTAGACCCTGGCCCTTGAACCCAGGGCCCTGCAGCTTAAACCTTGAGCCCTGAACCCTAAACCCTGAACCCCAGGCCTTGAAAACGAAGCAAAGATCAGATTCAACGAAGGGCCGGCCTTCGTTGAATATGGTTTTCTTCGTTGAATTGGATGATTTCTTCGTTGATTTTGGTGGTTTCTTCGTTGAATTTGGCGATTCCTTCCTTCGTTGAGTTTGGTGATTTCTGCGTCGAGTTTGGTGAGAAAGAAGTCGAAGAAAACAGTCATATTCAACGAAGAAGACTTCCAACTCAAGGAATGGGCCGGCCTTCGTTGAGTTTGCTTTTCTCTCTTCGTTGAACTTGGCGCAGCGAACAAATCTTTTTAAACGAAGGGGCCGGCCTTCGTTGAACATGGGCAACTGAAGAACGACCCTAAGCCCCCTAAGCCCGAAACCTTAAACTCTAAACCCCAAGCCCCGCTCAAGCCCAAAACCTTAAAACCCTAAACCCCCCCCTTCAGCCCTACCCTAAGCCCTAAAACCCCTGAGCCCCCCTTAAGCCCTAAACCCCAAGCCCCAAAGCCTACACCCTAAGCCCTAAAGCAAGGCCACAGAGTCCGGCTCGCCTGGCAGCTCCCCTGGCGAAGGTTCCTGGGGTTCTTTCTTTGGGTTTTAAGATTTTTTTGTGTAGGTTTAGGCTTTAAGGTTGTTGGTTTAAGGCTTCGAGTTTAAGGTGCAGGGTTTAGGGTTTAAGGTTTAGGGGTTAACGTTTAGGTTCGGGGTCTGGGGTTTAAGGTTTAGGCTTCAGGGTTTACGGTTTAGCGTTAAAGGTTTAGGGCTTTGGGTTTAAGGTTCGGGTTTTAGGTTTAGGGTTTAGGGGTGCGTTCGGTTTAGGTGTTGGGTGGTAAGGTTTTGACGTGTGGCAGGTTTTTATAGGGTCTTGAGGTTTTGGGCAGAGGGTTTTCAGGTTTCGAGTTTAGGTTTTGGGGTTTGGGCATGTGGAATCTCGGTTGGGCCAGAAACCCTGAGTCTCGAAGTGCGAGTGCCACCTTCATCTCTACTAGGCTCATCTGCGCTGCACCCCTGAAATCTACGCCCCCAAGCCCGTACATTCCGAAATCCTCCAACCATCAACCCCGGAAGCCTCAAACCCCTATGCAAGAGTCCCATGGTGCCTCTAGCATGCAAGCCCGAAGCTCTGGAAGCTTGAACAACTAGTACAACGTTTCCTTCGGGCTCCTTATTACTAGTTTAGCATACAATACCTCAAGACTCTAATCGTTCAGATTGTGATACTATACAATGATTCAGACGATGAAGGCACCCATGGTAGCTAGGCGGGATCCCGTCATTTCGCAACCTTGTGGATGAGCTGTTCGGGGGGAACTCCGACGACTTCATGCAAGAGCTTCACTACTGAGAGTTTAGGTTCTACAAGATATACCGAGACTATCCCTTTCCTCGCAGAATCCATATTCTTTTATGGTCCACACACCCCCAGGGTATATTCACGCGCGTAGTTCTCTACTTAAGCTGCTTCGGCCGCGGTTTGGGAGCCTCTTTTCGACAGGTGGCTCACCATCCATGGAGAGCCCCAGCGGAAAGCGTGTGCGCGAACGCCTGGTGGCCGAGACGAGAGCGGAGGGATCAGACACGCCCAAAACTTCAAAACCCCAATATAAGCCTGAAAAAATTCCTACAATGGTTCCCGTAGGTTCCTTATTATCCTTATTGTATAATATGCCCCCAAGATACTATTCAAATCATTAAGGTCCTTGTAGTAAACGGTAAGCCCTCAATCCTATCATGGCTGTATGCAGTTTTAGGCAGAGGCACTTTGGGTGATACTGGCTCCAGCGCCACAGCTAGGTTCTCTCTGTAGGGACGTCTTTGCACGCACACCCCTTCGCCACAGAATTTCTGAGCGGTTCAGCAGTCCCTTTCTTCCGGAGACTTTACCTACGAATCTCAAAGCCGAAATCCTTCACCACTTTCGGTGACACACTCTGCTAGCACCACTACTGCCACTACTGTGCCTGCTGCTCTACTGCCACTTTAAGGGACTGGACCCTCCCTAAGCCTTAAACCCAAACCCGCACAGCCGAAGTCCACAAGCTCCAAACCTGATCCCATGTACGAGAAGTTGAACCAGTATGCCGCAAGCGTCCAGTTTAGGGCTGGACACCCAAACCCGGAATCTCAAGCCCTAAGCCCTAGACCCTAAACAGCTTTCAATATTTATTTATTCACCAGTTGTTGCTATTAATCTGCTGTTTGTTTGCTGGTTGTTGGTTCATAAACATATTCTTCAGATCTAAGCGTTGAGCCTTGAAGACTCAAGCGGTTTAGGGTTTACGGACCCCGAGGCATGGCGTCGCGACGCCGCTTGGAGGCGGTGACAGATCTCCAGGGTTCAGGATTCATCTGCCTTTTTAGGGCTTAGGAGCTGTACTTAGAGGCCCAGGGGACTTGGTAACTAGGTTATAAGTAGGGTTATAATTGGGGTAACTCTATTTAGGGTACTTATAACCCTACTTATAACCTACTTACTAAGTTATCTGGGCCTGTAAGTAGGGTTTTTAAGGGTTTCGGGGTTTAGGGTTTTAAAGGTTTAGGAGGTTTAGGCTTCAGGGTTTCGGTTTTGTAAGGGATTGAGTGGTTTAGGGTTTAGGGTGTCCCGCTAGGGTGTGTGGGGGGATGCTGAAAGGATCTGGGCGTGTACCTGGCGTCGAAGGTCCTGGGGTAACTCCACTTAGGGTAGTTATAACTCTGTTATAACCTGCTTGCTAATAAGTCCTCTGGGCCTCTTAAGTAACCACCTGGCCTCTCTCTCTGCCAGGAACTCCACCGTCAGAAGAGCGCCACCGCCGAAGCGCCCGGACCCGAGCTGCCAGTTTGGTTTAACGTTTGGAGATTAAAGCCTAAAATCTCACTTGGAGGCCCAGGCGACTTAGTCAGTAGGTTATAAGTGGGGTTATAATTGGGGTAACTCCATTTGAGGTACTTATAACCCACTTATAACCTACTTACTAAGTCCCCCTGGGCCTCTAAAAGAAACCTAATCCGCCCTTTCATAGAACCCTTATAGATCCCTTTTGAGGAACCCATAGAACCCTTATAGATCCCTTAAAAACCTACTTACTAAGTGCCCTGGGCCGCCAAGCATGATTCCCTAGTGTAGAGAACCCCCAGACCACACTCCGAACCCCAAACCCTTCAGCCCGCCAGAAGCTCCCCAAAACCCTCCCCCCTCCTCCCGAATCCCCACAGTTCTTAAGCCCCTACAACAGTAGCCCTAAACCCTAAACCCCTAGCCAGCACACTTAAAAAAATCCCTAAACCACAAACTTAAACCCTAAACCCTAAACCACAAACTTAAACCCTAAACCCTAAACCACAAACTTAAACCTTAAACCCTAAACCCTCAACCCTAAACTTAAACCCTAAACCCGAACAAAGCCAAGCAAAACATGGCAACGAAAGCCAAGGCGCCGGGGCTCCGAGCAACCGAAGAGCCATCGCTTGTTGCAAACGCCGGCGCCCTGGATGTGGGGTGTTTGTTTGGGTTTGTGGTCTGGGGCTTACGGCTTCGGGTTTAGGTCCAGGGTTTCGGGCGTAGGGTTTGGGGTTTAGGATTCAGGGTTTAGGGGTGGCTTTCAGCAGGGGGGTTTGAGGCTTAACGAAGGTTCCGAGGTTGGGGCGAATGCGGAAGGGATTCGGGGCTGAAGGCAAAAGCAGAGGCTTTAGGGTTTCATGCCAGAATGGCGTGGCCTGCTGCCAGAAGTAAAATGACGAAGGGAAGCATATCGGCGGTAAGCCGGAGAAAGGTCATCATCCATTGCTGTCAGTCTTTTGCCTGGCTTTGATGCTGGCGATATGTCAGAATACGGCTTGTTTAGGGTTCCCTGAAGGGGTCTATAAGAGTGTCTTAAACGGTTTAGGGTTCAGGGTCCATCGTTAGAGGGGCCCTAAAATTTCCCATCAACTCAACTTCTGATCTTAGGCGGACCTTCGACTGTTGGTGTTTCGGTGCAGCACCGAAAAATATCCTGAAACAACGTTTTTTTGGAATAGGGCGGTTAGGTGTAGGTCAACTGCACCAAAATTCTTGCTCCCCCAACACCCGAAGCCAATCGCCAGAGTCCCAGAGGGTAAACTTGTCTCGAAGCAAAAAGAAGCTCCCTTGCAAGGTTCCAGACGCACGCCTCCGCCACGCGAAGCGTGGCCAAGGTCCTCCTGCTTTGTGATGATGGGGAACGGACCCTTACTGCCCTAAACCCTGAAGTCCGAACCTCGACATCCTAAGACTAAGCGTTAAAAAATCCCTTAAAACGAACCCCAAACCCTAAAACTCTAAGCCCTGAAACCCTAAACCCTCAATTCTTAAAACCATAAAGCCCTAAGACCTTCAACCCTAGACCCTAAATCCTAAATTCTCTAAACCACAAAACCCTAAGCCCCTAAACCCGCATGGCTTCCTGCCCCCAGCATCTCCGACGAAGGCGGCTACGTTCGAATCTTCGAGCTCCGGTGAGTCTGAACCGGAGGTAGAGAAGGAGGAGGGGACGTAGTAAGAAAGTTTAGGGTTTGGGGTTTAAACTTCCTAAGTTACAAAGGCCTCTGCAGAGGTAGAGGACGAGGGGGCGTAGTATGAAAGCTTAGGGTTCAGAAGGAGGAGGGGGTCTAGTAAGTAGGATATAGGTTTTAGGGTTTAGGTGATAATGAGAAGGAGGAGGGGACATCGTAAGTAGGATTTAGGGTTTAGGGGTTATGACGTTTTAAGGGGGGCTTAGTAAGGAATCTAGTTCAAGTTCGCATGTTTTAGAGTTCCTGTCTTACGAGGAGGGTATTTAGTAAGCAATGTTTCAGTTTCCACAATTTAGGGTTCATTGTTTACGGGTTCTAGATGGATGGTAACTTAAATGAGGTTCCTTAACGAGAACCCAGCAAGGGAAGGAGGTGGGGGAAGGGTTTGGGTGTCCTAATTGTTCTTCTACTAAACCTCCTTCCCTGGTCCCCCAATGCTCCTGCAAGAGACAAGCAGGAGCATGCGACTTTCAGACAGTCCCGCTAAGGTGAAGGTTCAAGGTTTGAGGTTTGGGGTGTTGGGGGGTTTTAGTTTTGGGAGGCTTCTATATTGGTTAGCTTTATGACAGGTTTCGGGTTTTAGTGGGGTTAGGACCAACTGGGCACAGTAGAATAACTACTATTACTCCTTTACAATGATACTGCAATGTTCACCCAAACCCTATCACTTAGTATCAGCCTTCGAACTTAAAACCCTAAACCCCAAACCCCCAAACCCCAAACCCCTAAACCCCTAAACCCCTAAACCACTAAACCCTAAGCCCTACACCCAAGCCTTAAACCCTCGAAGCTTGAGGGGTTTCAGGTCACGGTCTCACCCCGAAGCCGTAAACTTCCACCACCCAAGCGACAAATTCAAAGACAAACCCTAGACCCTACATCCCCAAAACCTAAGCCTCACTGTAGAACCACTATAGAGTCCATAGACCTGACCGGCCTCTCTAAGGAACACTTGTCTATTCATTCATTTCGGGACCCCTCGAAAGGAGATAACCAGAAGCATTTTGCAGGGATGTCCCTACCTTATTGGGATTCATTATACGGTGGTATATATATATATATACATACACACATATACACACATGGGATCTCCCTACATGGTAATGTAGGGCCGTATTCATTCCACTACGGTCTGACCCAGTCTCTCGGGACCTGTTACATCGCTTTTTTTCACGGTCGCAAAGCCCACGGCCTGTTCTGAGAGAAGCTGCGGGTCCGGCTCACTTCAAAGGGCCTGAGGCAGCCAGGACCTCGAAGGGCCCTTTAATGGAATCCTTTTTGGCCCTCAATAGTGGGTATTTGGGGTATATTAGAGGGTAGTTGGGGGGGTCTAGGAGGAGAGTGTTTTCTATTTAGGGTTTAGGGGGTTGGGGCCTAAAGTTTAGGTTAGGGTTGGGGGGTTTCTATATGTTTCCTGAGGCAGGAGAGTGTCGAAAAGGTTTCTGTTTAGGGTTTAGGGGTTTAGGGTTTGGGGTTTCTGTACGTTGTTTTACGAAAGTGGGTCTGTAGATGAGGGTTTCCATTTTAGGTTTTAGGGTGTAGAGTAGAGTTTAGCGGCTTGGAGCTTTGGGTTTAGGTTTCTTTACGGTTTTTCTTTTGGGTCTACGGCGCTCATTTAGGGTCCCAGGGTAAAGATAGCAAGGACTTAAACCCTGGACCTTAAAATCTACACACCTTAAGCCCAGAACTGCCTGGGTTCGTTGAAGTACTTGTGCAGTATCGATGTCTGCTTAGCTCGACGAGGTCCCGCGCAAAAGATATCCTGAGAGGGCCTTCAATCGGAGGGTTAGGGTCTGCGATTACGGGTTTAGGTGCCGAGAGGCTTGGGGTTCGCGAGTTGGTGAGCATTTTATGGACTTGAGTCTCAGAGTTTTGAGGTTTTGAGGTCTTAGTGGTGTCGGTTTCGAGCTCTGGAGGTTCCCCTCGTCGGACCTTTCGAGATTTCCGATCTGTGGGCTTCGGCTTTAGTTGTTGTAACCCTAAGCCCTACAGCCCGTAGCCCCAAATCCCTACACCAGACACCCCTCGACCCTGAACCCCTAAACCCCACGGTCCCAGGCTCCTATTTCACCCGGGCGTAAATTTAGGACCTGCCAGACAATGACCGCAGCAATCTGATGTCCCATGCCTCTACCTTGGGTTCATGATCTGCTGTCTCAGATGGGTTCGAAGGGTTTTATTTGGTTACATTTTGGGTTTAGGGTTTGTGTGCAGGGGTGTAGGGTTTAGGATTTGATGAAGTTCTTGGGCATGTCAAGCACACAGCAGTCTATGAGAGCTTTGATTCAACCCTGCTTTCTTTGAAGGGATCACACCCTCAACCCTATACCCTTAACCCCAAGGCTGCTTTCTTTGCGGGGATCTTGCCACAGGAACAAGAAGGCGGATCGGGAAGCCACTGCCCCGAGAATCGATGAAGATGTCTTTACCTAAACCCTAAACAAGCTAGCAGCCAGAAAGAGTTATGTAAGGAAATCATAACGAGGAGCCTGAAAAAGGTAGCTAAAGATTCGAAAAGGTAATGTCTACAAGTGGTTGAAACCACCAAAAACTACGCTTGTGACTGAGTGGTAGTTGTGGTGGTGGTTATGAGTGCATAGCAGCCGTCGTCGTCTACAGCTAGTAGCCGTGGCGGCAGCTGCAGGAGCAACCGGAGGAGCCGCGGGAGCAGCAGCAGCAGCAGCAGCAGCAGCAGCAGTAGCGGCAGCGGCAGCAGCGGGAGTAGTTGTAGTAGCAGTAGCTGTAGTGTCTGAGCCACAGGCTTTGTTTCCACCAGTTCGGGTGGTGGTGGTCTCCCGTTCGCTGCTTACCTTGTACTTCAAGCCTGCTGCAGCGTCGCAGAAAAAGACGACTCCTTCTGTAGGGTTTAGGGTTTAGGGTTGATTTGGCTGCCCTATCCCAGCCGCTAAACTCCTAAACCCCTCAACCCTAGCAAGCGCAGCATGGCTTCCGTCCACGGCAGTACTTGTCGTCACACTTGCAGTCGGAAAATATTTAGACTTGTTGCCCGAACCCTTAACCCAGAGACTCCCAAACCCCTTAAGCAAGAACTATACCTTAACTCATATTAGGGATCCTATTATGATTTAAGGCATATTCCTTAGGGATCCTATTATGACTTACGGTCTATTTCTTAATTAAGGGGGTTTTGGAGTCTCTGCCCCAAAGTGCTCAACCCTGGCCATAGGGATGCAGTCCTAGACCTTGAACCCTGAGCCCCATCAGCCCTAAACCCTAAACCCGATTGATTACATGGGTCCAGGGCTTCCTAGAAATTCCATCAAACCCAAAGTTGAAGTTGGGAGTTTCCGAGAATATGGGACCCTAGTATAGTACCCAAGATAGTAGGATCCTTTTTATAAGGACCCCAAAATCTAACCCTAAACTCTTTACAGAACCCTTATAGAGCCCTTGAAGGAACCCTTTTTTTTACCCCTTTAAAGGAATCCTTAAGGTACCCCCCAATTGTCGCAAACTCCCCGGACCAGGGAGTCCCTGCTAAAAGCCTTCAGCCCTAAGAAACCCGAAACCCCAAAGGCTAAAACAAAAAACAAAGGGGTTTAGGGTTTAGGGTTTAGGGCGTCTCGCCGCGCAGCGGCAGTATTTTCTATGTAGGATGGCGCCCCAACACTCCCAGGGGTGTGGGGGGGCGGCATATCGACGTCTAGCGTTCGAATGCGATTCCACCACTGAACAATTACACATTGGTTCCTCACCTTTTCCCACCCGCTGTGAGAATACACAGGCTACCACCCAAAACATTGCCTTTTAGGGTTTAGCGCTAACGCCCTCAATTCCCACCTGCCCGGTCTGTCTGTTGGGGCCAGGAAGGTCGCACCTACACACGCCACAAAACAGAGCGGTCAGGGCAGGGGTCAGGCCAGGAGCCAGGGCGGGCCGGAGGGCCAGGGGAGGGTCAGGGGGGGGCAGGAGGGGGCCAGGGAGGGCCCGAAAAAAAAGGGAAGGGCAGAAAAGACGCTGGGGCCCCCCCTGACACGGCTTCTGGGGCCTTTTCTGAACGGGGGCCAAAGGGAACTGTCCACCAAGGGCTTTGGTCGTCGGGTTTAGGGTATTCTAAGTCTTGAGATTCGAGGGTTTCTTCTGCGAAAGGGGCGCCGCGCAAGGGGCCTAATGGCTTGGCTCAGCCCTAGGGGCTGAATTCGACCACTCTCCAATGGCTCCACCCATTGTCCATCCAGAGTTGGTGTCAGTCACTGCCGGATTTCCTTCTGGGTCCATCCGAAACAGGGTGGGTACGGCCTAAGCAGGCCTGGGTGGGAATTTAGGGGCACCTTCCAGGACCCCCCAATGGGAGCCCTAATGGCCCTTAGTAGTAGGTATTTGAGGTTTATAAGAGGGTATTTGTGGGGGTCTAGGTTGTTGTGATGCTGCCACGTTTTGGGTCCCGAGTACGGTCGTCGGAATGTTTTTTGCACACTTTTGGGGGGGTATTTGGACCTCTGCAGTTCACAAGTTCCAGAATCAACACTGGACCCCAATACAGACTTTGAAGCGTCGGGCGCTTCTGTGATGATCCTCAAACAAGGTAGCCCTACACACCCTAAACCATAATCCCTAAACCTTAGACCATCACCCCTTGACCCCCAACCTTTATGAATCGTCTTACAGAAACCTTAGGGTGGCCATGATAGCAACCCATAGTATGGAATCCTGACAGTAACCTTGGGAGTAGTCCCTAAATCTACACCGGCAACAGTCTGAACTTCTCTGCTTGCAGCGTTTCTGGCCCTACGGATCATCTCGAGTCAAGGTGAACATAGGGGCCGGAATAAGTACCGATGCTGTTCCCTAGGGTTAAGGGTTTTAGGTTCTAGGGATTGAGGTTTAAGGGTTTGGGGCTCGTACCATTCAAAGAAAAGCAAACAGCACATGGGTTTTGAACTGAATCATGGTCCGGCGGGCTTTTCGCAGCAAATCATTGGAACAGGGTGTCCCCGAGAGAAGCCTGGTTTAGAAGAGCCCTCCAAAGTCTAAGTTCTCAGCTCGTCTGCATGACAGCTACTGGTGCAGCTGATGGCAGGTGATTTAGCTGCGCCGACTTGGTTGGGGGCAAGGGTAGTATAGGGTTGAGGCTTGGGATTTATCGGCAAAAGCTTCCGAGCTGTGCCGGGGGATCGGGAAGATGAACGGGTTGGCACAGCTTGCGATGATGAGCCCAAGCCCGTTTCGCGTACTTCTAGACGACCCACCTAGTTCAAGCGACTGAGAGGCCTGAGACTACTGTAAGCATTCTTGAAGTACTACTATAGGGCCGTAATTAATTGAGTGTACATGATTACCACATTATCCTAGTTTCTACAAGCCTTGTATGCGTATGGATTTGGGGTGCCTCCAAGGGACCTCCAAAGTAAGGATTCAAAGGCTGATGCAAGGCGCGCATGCAGCAATCGTAGGGGCTTTGTGCTTGCAGTCGCAAAGTCGCTAACCTTTAGAGCTTGTTGGGGCTTCTACACAATCTCACTATGACCATAAGAGCTTGCAAGCAATTAGGTTGTGGTAGCTTAAGGTAGGGTTCGGGATCCCCGAAGCTTAGGCACGGGAAGGTGCCATGTCACTGCAATGATGGTGTGTTCCAATTTTCGTGTGATGATCACGGGCTTCATGGCTTGGCGATCGCCAGGGTAACCCTAAACCCTAAACTCTAAACCCTAAACCTTAAACCCTAAACCCTAAACCCTAAACCCTAAACCCTAAACCCTAAACCCTAGACCCTAAACCCTAAACCCTAAACCCTAAACCAACCCATGGCAGCATTCGCTCCGCTGAGTTCCGATCATGTCGGTCCTTGCTCGTATTGATTCCTCACATGACATGAGTCAGGGGAGATTGCTGACCTGCTCTGGTGTGGGAAAGCGAGTCCTTCCTTTCCCATGGGCCTGATTCGTTACCTTCAAACAAAAACACTAGGGGTGTAAGGGGTGTAGGGGAACGGTTTGGTTCGGTACGGTATGGCTCCTTCTCCGCAACCGGTTCGGTGCGGTAAGCTGTGCGGTGCGGTACGGTATTGCCAACAAGTATTGTTGTAACGCCCATCTAAACCCACCCCCTAAAAGCCTTAAACCCCTTTAGCCTTAACCCTAAACCTTAAATCGTAAACCCGAAGCCCTACTTGGCGGCCCAGGGGACTTAGTAAGTAGGTTATAAGTAGGGTTATAATTGGGGTAACTCCTTTTAGGGTACTTATAACCCTACTTATAACCTACTTACTAAGTCCCCTGGGCCTCTAAGTAAAACCCTGAACTCTGCTGGATCTGAGATTTGGCCTAGCTGAGAGGCGAGGCGCCGAGTTCGCGAGATCCGAGGAGGGCTCGAGAACAGAAGGTCCCAAGAAGGATCCTTAGGGATCCCAGTAAGGTAGGGGTTTAGGGTTCGGGGTTTAAGGGTTTAGGGTTTGGGGTTTAAAGGTTTAAGGCTTTTTAGGGTTTGGGATTTAATCGTTTAAGGGTTGAGGGTTTCAGGGTTTAGGGTTTAAAGGGTTTAGGGTGTAGCGGTTTAGGGGTTTAGGGGTTTAGAGTTTAAGGATTTAGGGTTGCAGGGCCTAGGGTTTAAGGGTTCAGGGTTTAGTGTTTAAGGATTTAGGCTCTTAGGGTTTAGGGTTTAGGGCAGAGGACGAAGCTCAAGTCTCATCAGAGTATTGAGCAGAAGGCGAGTCGAGTTGATGACATGGCTGCATGAGACGCGCTGCCAGAACGGGGGGGGGCTTAGATTTTGTGCGTGGTTTAGGGTTTAAGGCTCGGGTTTAGGGACGGTTTAGGGGTCAATCCGCGCACCCTTTTTTCAATCACAGCGCAGTTTTTGTGTTTTAACTCCGTGCTCTGCCTCTAAGTGGGCTGCAATGGTGCCGCATCCTGGTTCGCTCTTCTTGATTTGGAATGCGGTGCTGGCATGGGAGTCACATGACGGCTGTCCAGCGAGTCAGGACCGGCGCTTGCCAGACATGTTCAGCAATGGCTTGTTTGAGAACCCTAAACCCTAAACCCTTATTTGGGCACCAACAGCAATCGCACTTTGACACAACATTGGCAACCCAGAGGTTCCGATTTACTTAGGGCTTTCAAACCTTAAGCCCCTTAACCCTAAACCCTGAAACGACAATGCTTGTTTCAAAAGCACCTCCGGGCCATCTGCGTCCTTGTCTTCCATTAGAAGCCCGAAGCGAGATGCATTTGGGAAGGAGACGTCCGCATTAATGCAGCTGCAACAAAGTGAAGAGGCAGGAGCCTGGACGAAGCTCGTGGCTAGGAGGCACTTTGGGAAACTTTAAAACTTCCCTTATGGTTCCTATAGAGGTACCGATTCATAAATGTTTTTGAGGGCCCCGAGACTCCCCAGAGAGCCCAATACCCCTTAATTAAGGAATATGGCTTAAATTATATAGGGCTTCATATTATGATTTAAGCTATATTCCCTAACTAAGGGGTATTGGGCCCCGAGACTCGAACCCAGGTGGGTACGCCGTATTTGGATGATGTACGGGGCCTGGCATATAGTCAGGGCGCTCTGTATTTGGCCTCACGGTCTGAAGGACCCGTGGGAAGAATACCGGCTCCTTTGTTTCATGTGGAACTGTGGGTCGGACCTACATGGGAGTTTCCGAAAATGAGGGGTACCTAATTTTTGGGTTCTTACAATAAGGATCCTACTATGTAGGGTACTTTGTTAGGGTCCCCCAATATTCGGAAACTCCCATATATGTGTTGGCAGGCATTCAAGATCGCTGGCCCCATTGATTGTTTTGTGGGTCCCGCGCCATTCTGCCCCAGCGTGCTAAATTAGTCAATTGCAACATGCGCAGCTGGTCCAACACACTTAAAACAGGCCCTCCAGGCTGAACAGGCCAACCAGATCTCGCGCGAGAAATCCACACCATCGCCCCTTCGCACCCAGCATGTGTCGAACATGCTCAACTGGCCCATCATGTCGGCCCACTTATCCGAATTTTCTACCCTCTCACTGATCACCCATTTTGTCCAACCCAATTCCGTACGGTTCAGCTTACGAACTCCTCCCTAAACGCGAAACCCCAAACTGCAAACCCTAAACCCTGAACCCTAAACCCTACTAAACCCCTAAACCCTGAACCCTAAAACCCAAACCCTAAACCCTAAATCGTAACCTAAACCCTTAAACCCTAACCCCCAAACCCTAAACCCTAACCCCTAAACCTCAACCTAAACCCCTAAACCCCACACCCTAACTCCTAAACCCCTACACCCCTAAACTCCTCTGCACCCTGGGCTTGCAGGAGACTTGTTCAAGATCCGCAACATCGGAAGCTCGGACTCTTTCTTCGCGAAGTTGACTTCCGGCCACGGGAAGCTGGGTTCTTGTTAAGCAACTGAGGGTTTAGGGTTTTAGGTTTTGGGGTTAAGGGTGTTAGGGTTTTGGTTTCAGGGTTTAGGGGTTTAGGGTTTTAAGGTTTACTGTGTTCTTGTTAAGGGGTTCGATGTAAGTTACCATAACAAGGTAACAAGGAAATCATATTATGTACTATTGGTCCCAATAATGGTAACTTAAATCAAAATCCCTAACAAGAACCCAGGAAGGTGCGATGGACAGCGCGGGAACCCCGAACCGATGCTTTCGACAAGGCCTCAGTTGTCATTCAGGCACTTTTTGTGAGCAGTGCCCTTGCAACCCAAAGCCCTAAAACCTAAACCCTAAGCCCTAAACCCCACACCCCAAACCCTAACACCTAAACCCTAAGCCCTAAGCTCTAAAGCCTAAGCCCTAAACCCTAAAATCCTAAACCCCACACCCTAAGACCTACAGCCTAAACCCCAAACCCTAAGTCGTAAACCCTACACCCCAAACCCTAAAACCCAAACCCGAAGCCCTAAACCCTAAACCGTAAGCCGAGTTGCCAGACCCAGGATCTCCCTCTAGACATTGCTGTTTCCGCGAGTGGTGGTTCAGCGACGAGCGTTTACGCCGTGGGTATCACGAACACCCGCACTACGTACTTCAACGGGACGGGTACGGTGTTGCCGGAAAAGGGCTTCTTGCATGATGTTATTTCTTGCGTGTAGTGCTTGCAGCAGCTTCCAGATTCAGTTTTTAATGCAAGGCTTGCTTCCGGCTTTGAACACTAGCGATGGATACGTCGTGAAGCTGGATGACAAGGGCAGGACGCTGTGGCAGCGCACTTTGATCACCGGGGACACAGATGCAATGACGGCAGTCGCCTCCTCCGGCGAGCATGTCTTCGTTGGTGGCGCCACACGAAGTGACTTGGTGGCTGGCGAGCAGAAAGGCGGAGCAGATTGCGTCCTTGGCAAGCTGGACCCCAAAACAGGCCAGCGGGTCCATGGTTGTCATCCTTGGTTCCTCTTCGGTTGTTTTCCCATTTTTCATGTAGGGGGTTCCCTGACAGGCGAGTTCCTATGGGTGCAGCAATTCGGCACAAGTGGGGAAGAGGCCATCTGGGATTTGGCAGCTTGCACCGATGGGAGCGCGGTGGCTGTCGGCCAATCCAGCGGCAATCTATCTGGCCCAGCGCTTACTGAAATGGAAAGGGGAGTTACGTACTCGTAGATTGGGGCTGTAACTTGTAGCTCCGTTTAGTGACTCATAAAGGCCCTGAATGGTCAGTCATATCCCCACACAACCGGGCCGAGCCCTTGCAAGCAGTACAAAGTTGCTCACTTGTGACCGGTTTGACTGTGGTTGTCTATGTGTCGACAGGGCTCTTTGTTTTTTTGCTGTTCTGAGGCCAGGTCTTTGGTAGCGACGACGCCTTCGTTGCAAAGTTCAACAAGCTTGGCAACATGATTTGGATGAAGTCATTTGGCAGTGAAAAGAGCGACGTTGCTTACCGTGTGGCAGCTGATGAAGATTGCGAAACCATTTATGTCGGAGGGCAATCCGTATCTTGCACGCAGCTTAGCACTGGGGAGGTTGCTGTCCACGTTTCAATGCGATCCCCTAAATCCCAGGCCCCCTAAACCCTAACACGCAATCCTGGAGGTTCTCCGGACGGTAAGCGGGTGCTTGGTTGCTGCATGGGTGTCAAGGCTAGGAAACCACGGCATTTACGTAGTTTTCGTGGTTTGCAGCACAGATAGAGGTCCTGGCATGACAGATAAGTTTTCCGCATTTTTTCTGGAAGCGTGCAGGGTCGCTGTACTGTGGGGTTGGAGACGTAGTTTCGGGTTTTCGCGAGGTATTAAAGGGAACTCCAGAAAGTTGGAATATTGTTTCAGGGAAGCATACCCTATAATTTACCATAGAAGGGTTAGGATAATGATATTCCAACTTTCTGGCTTCTACTGTATTGTGTTCGCCGGCTTAAAGCAGGCCTGATAGTCAGGGTTGTTTGGCCAGGTAACAAGCTTGCTATTTGGGACGACAAGTTCGTTTCAGACAGATAGCAGAACAGCATGCATTTGTCAACAGACAAACAAGAGTTTTGAGTTAATGTTTGAAGTTTTTGTTTGGAAAGCCCACAAAATGCGAGTCTTTTCTGGTGGGAGCGTCTGACAAGTAAGAGGAAAACAGCAGCAGCAGGAAGCAACAGCGTCATTGTCATTGTTATCTTCATCGTTATCATCATCGCCATCGATATCCTCTGCATGAACAAGCAACAACATCAACCGCATTACCATCATGCAACATCATCGTAATCAGGCGCATCAACATCATGATCATCATCATCAGCATCACCATCATCATCCTCACCATCGTCATCACGGTCAAAGCTCTAGGAATACAGATATGAATCTGGAGTTGGCAGGGTTCTTGACAAAACAACGAAAACCACGGTATCTACGCTTCCGCAAGACCACCCCTGCACGGAGCCAAAAAAGAAACACTAGATGCGAGCCGCATTCGCATGCACGATATCCCCCACCCCCCCCCCACCTCCTCCACCCCCCCCATCCACCACACCCCTCCCACTGAGGAATTCAATCCCGAGCACATAGGCGTGCAGAGGGTGCTTGACGGGAGAATCGAGTGAACCCTAAACCCTAAACCTTCCGACGATTCTCTAAGGATGGACAGCTAAAGCCCAACCAGTCTTCGCCGGATATTGTGGGCTTTGTTGCCAAATTCGATCAGCACGGCGAGAAGCAGTGGCTTGAGCTTCTTGAAGCTGGGTTCTTTTTAAGGAATTTAAATCAAGTTTCAACAATTGGGATCTATAATAAATAACATGGTTCCCTGATTATGGTAGCTTAAATCAAACCCTTTAAAATGAATCCAGGAAGGTGATAACGTGGTCTATGTCGGAGCTGTCAGCACTGATGACATGAACAATGCCTATGTGGGGGGCCACACGTATGGCAATTTGACCAACCTGCTGAACAGCGGAGGTTCTGATGGCTTCATCATCAAGTTCACAGCTGATGGCAGTCGAGATTGGGCCAAGCCAGTCGCAACTGACAAAGACGATGAGGTCTTAGCTGTCGTGGTGGCGAAGGGTCAGGTCTTCGCCGCTGGATACACAGAGGGGAATCTGCATGGCCTGATCAACCAAGGGGGCCCTGCAGCTTTCCCAGGCGACGGCTTTGTATTGAAACTTGCGACACGGCAGCGTAAGAAAGGCTACTACGGCTACTACAGATCTCGCACCTCGACATTGACAGAGGAGGCCGCGGAGGAGAAGGAGGAAGAGGAGGAGATTCCAACATCCTACTTACAGCCAGAGGAGGAGAAGGAGGAGGCGGAGATTCCGGTGTCCTATTTGGAGGAAACAAGCAATCGATCAGAGTCTTTTCTCACTCATGTCAAATACTGCGTGAATGGCGTCCGAAGCGGCAGTGTTTGTTGTGCGAAACTCTGCGGGAGCTGTGGTGGATCTGGTTGCAGTCGGCGCAATCGGGGTGATGTCAAGTGCTGCGGCAGTTCCAACACCAGAACATGCGAAGACATATATGATGTAGGCTGCACGATTCCTTCTGGTGGTTGGTGCCAAGGAGGGGGAATCAAAAACGGCCAAACATGCTGTTCAAGCAGCTGTGGAAGCTGTGGGGGGACTGGTTGCAGTGGGCGTCCTGGTGGGCGTACCGAGTGCTGCCTGGGTGAGACTGTTCGACCCTGTGACTGGATAGGATTTAGTACAGCCTTGTCCTTTTTCATGGTTCCCCCAAAAGAATAAACAGACCGGCTAGTAGACCTTCTTAAATAATTCCTACTAAGGGATATAGGTATAGGGCTCTGTCTATTATTTCTAAACGGACAAGGGTGATTTAGTATAGGGGCCTTAATAATTAGAATGGGGTTTCGGGTCCCGCTCTACTACAGTTAGAAAAAGGAGCCCCCAAAATAGTATAGGTAAGGTTCTTGTTAAGGGGTTTACTTTAAGGTATTAAAACATGGATTTCTAGTAAACAATATGCTTTCCTTGTTATGCCCTAAATCCTAAACCCTGGACCCTAAATCGCCCAACAAAAACCCCAGGTGATGGCTACACGGATCAGGGCTGCCGGATTCCGGACGATTGGTGCAAGAACGGAACCCCGGCGGCATTGGGGAATTTTGTTAACAGGCTTCCAAAAAGGGTCCAAGTACCCATTGTATTTGGTACTTGATGTGTATTTGGGGCCCGGAAGTATATTATAGTATACAGTATAACGTTAACCCTTTGGGGTTGCGATGTGAAGCATAGCCCGACAAGTGTCACGGTTGCCATGTACCGTGAACCCTGAACCGCAGTTTCCACTTTAGACGAACACCCGTCGGTGCTTTGCCAGCTCGAGTGGGCCCTCACGCCGCTTTGGGAAAACGAGAGCTCTTGAGTGCCATCCAAGGTCTCCGCAAAAACAAGGAGAAGTGGTTGCCTGAAACCGAGGCAGCATAACCCAGGCGACATAGGCGATCCCGGCAATTCGCCCCACCCAGACCTTCACGATTTTAGGACCAAAAGTAAGTGTAACTAGCATGATCATCCACCGCAACGTGGAGCGTGCCCCTGACATCTTTGCCAAGAAGTGAATCACCCTGGTGGGATCCCCAGGTGCCCTTTCGCCCTTCGTCTCTTTGGGTTCCCCTATCAAAGTCAAAAAAATCGGGAAAAGGGTGCCCTTGTTATTAAGGGGCTACCGAGGGTGCCCTTGTTATTCAGGGGCTACTGAGTCTGGACCCTAAACCCTAAACCCTAAACCCTGCGGCTACTGGGGAACCTAGTTGTGCTCGCAGGACTGCTGCGCCTCCTCCTGTGGGAGTTGTACGGGATCGGGTTGCAGCAGTGGCTAGGCGGCACTTTGGGAAGCTTTGTCCTAGTTCCTATAGACTTTCTTACCTCGTCCCTAAACCCTAAACCCTTTATTTCTACAGGCCCCGAAACTACAGCGCAGGCAGGCCCGGAGGGAGCAGCAAATGTTGCAGTAGCGGCATCAGCGCAACCTGCAGCTCAACTTCCAGCACTGCCTGCAAGATCAGCCCCTTGCACTAAGACGGCCTTGTCCTTTTTCATGGTTCCCCCAAAAGAATAAACAGACCGGCTAGTAGACCTTCTTAAATAATTCCTACTAAGGGATATAGGTATAGGGCTCTGTCTACTACTTCTAAAAGGACAAGGGTGCATTAAGCTAGAGGAAAGGTCCCCTTTAAACCCCAAGCCCCTAAACCCTGTGGGCGGCCATGTGCTTTTGCAGACTTTTGAACATCTGAGGCAACGAATATGGCAGCAGGTGTTGCTTGAAGCAATCAACTGATTGAGTTTGGAGGTTGGTTTTCGGTGGATCGTGGAAGGTGCCATTTCCTTTTGCTCCGTAGACACCCGTTTTGCGAGGCTCCTTGTGTTCTACCAATGCTTCTTCGTGGAGGATTGTGCGTGCAGCAGCGGCGGCTGCACATAAGGTATACAGGGACAACTGGCAGAAGAGCTCCGTCACCGGCCCAGAAAGCTATGGCTTTAGTTTAAAAAGGAGAGAAATGTTCAACAGCCAGCGGGATGGAGTTGCACTATATCAGTCAAGTACCTTGGTGTTATTCTTGTTGGCTCTTGGGACTAACTTTTTGGGCTTCTACATGAACTATAATAACTCGACTAAAAGTCTGCTTTTGGGAACGGCTCAGAAGTCAGCCAAGGTACATCAGAGTGCATCCTTGCGTTCTCGGGCACTGATGATCTCTCGGATTGGGTCACCACAAACCTCCAGTTAGGATCCGCCAACCGATGTGGGAAGCAAGTGCACGCGGGTTTCGGCAGCGAGCTGGCAAGCATCACGGAGGATTCTGATTTCAACGACTTCCAGGAAGATCTTCAAAAGTGCTGCTGTGTGTTTGTAACCGGGCACAGTTTGGGAGGAGCATTGGCTGCTATCTTCACCTACTGCGCCAGGGCTGTTACGATTGGATCTCTTTCTGTTGAGGGTTCATGCTTTCACACAAGTATTTGCGGGAAGTCCTGTTTTATCCATTCAACTCTTTTTGTGTTGTTCTCTGTTTCTCTCTGTGCATGTATGGCGCTAGGTTCCCCAGTAGTGCCCTTTTGCTCTTTTTGGGTTTCCCTGTCAAAACCAAATATTGCAGTAGAAAGAGGGTGCCCTTGTGCCTTATTGTTAAGGGGCTATTGGGAACCCAGGGCCAGAGGCCAAGAATGCTTTTGCCAGACGCGGTGAGGTGTGTCTGAGGTAAATCTCCGTTTTTGGCGCCTTCAACTTGTTGCAGCAGCTTTGTCGCGTGCATCACCTCCGACTGTCGTCGCGCGCGAGCGCATGTGCGTGTGTGTGTGTGTGTGTGTGTGTGTGTGTGTGTGTGTGTGTGTGTGTGTGTGTGTTTTTTGTGTGTGTGTATTTATGTGTCTGTGTTTTTGTATTTCGTTGTTTGCGTTTCTCAAGCGTGTTCGGTGTGCGCAGGCTGGGCATGTGGGTGGGAAGCTTGACTCCCTTGAGCAGCCCCTAAAGCCCGAAACCTCCTGTAGATCCCTTAAAGGAACCTCTTATAAATCCCTCTAATAAAAGGAACCCTATGACCCCCCTAAAGCCCCTAAAAAAGTCGAGGTGCCAACGCCGATGAGAAGATCGGCGGCCGATGGCTTCGAATGAGAGCTCATGGCCTGATCACTTTCGGTGCTCCCAAGGCATCCAAAGACATTCTGACGAATCCAGGCGGTGCCTGCATTCCCGGATTTCGGTTTGCAAACTTCGGGCGGTCAGGATTCAATGTTCTGATTGCCGACTCTGTCCCAGCATTGGCGTTCGGCGACAAGCACCCGAAGATGACTGCAGTCAAGATCGATCGCGATTGGGGGGGCCTGACGCTTTGTCATAGTTGGGTAACTAACATGTTACATTTTTATGGGCACTTAAGCCCAATAAGGAATACAGTTTTTAATCCTATCCCAACCATGAACTAGGACTGATGACATCCAACCAGCTGCTCGAATGGAAAGCTCAACTTGCACGTCTGGCGTCAGTTGGCCTTTCGCTTCGAACACCGTTAAGTTGCACGAAATGAAGCACTACCGCGGCTTGGTGATGACAAGAGCTACTTGAGGGGTGGGTTGGCCGAGAAGTGGTTAGTAGGTTGGGCTTCGTCGCGGTTCAGTCTGGTTGATTGTGGTATGAGCTCCCCAAGTGGCTTCTGACAGACAAACTGGCGATAGTCTCCGTTGTAGTTCTTTTTTCTTTATTTAACCAATTAGATAGTTCGGATCCTAAATTAAAGATAACCCCAAAACAAGAATTACAATGGAGACTGTAGGTAATCTCTCTTTTCAGCATGGCCTTACTTTCCTAGGAGGGGCTTTTAAAGCCTTTGAAAAATATTAGTAGGTAAGCCCTACTTTCCCAAGGTCAGGCAGTGGAGGCACTGAACCCCGAGACGATGCCCGAGCGGCGTTGAGAGCGCGCCAGCCTGGCAAGATCTGGCAGACTGCGCATCGACTTAAGGTAAAAGCCAGAAAGTTGGAATATGAGTATCCTAAACCCTTCTATGGTAAATTATAGGGTATCCTACCATGAAACCATATTCCAAGTTTCTGGAGTTTCCTATATAACTCAGACAGTTTTAGTTCCGCAAGTTTCGCATCGACTTGCAGTTCCGACATTTTTCAATTATTCAGCTTTCAGTACAGTCTTCAGCACATGCACAAAGCTGTGCGCCGCCAACAGAGGCATATTGTTGTGTCGATACCGATTTGGACCATGCCAGAGCTTTTTGAAGAGATATCGCGAGCTTGTGCTAACGCATCGAAGGCCAATAGAGCCTGCTCGCTAGCGACCGGCTTGCTGTCACAGGTGCAGGAAGCTTGTGAGCAGCGATGGCATGCTTACAACATTCTGCATACTTGTTGCGATTCTTGTTCCCAGAGCAACACCCATTTCTCATCATTATTGTTGCTGCCACAATTACCACTAAGACTCCCATTACCACTGCTACTACCACTACTACTACTACTACTACTACTACTACTACTACTGCTACTACTACTACTACTACTACTACTACTACTACTACTACTACTACTACTACTTCTACTACTACTAAGCGTCTCGGCTCGCTTTACTTCGCCCCGGGGATTCACGATTGCTTGCTCTTTCGGTCATGTTTCAGGCTGGCACTTGAGTTCGCTCTAAGGCTTCTTTAATCCATGCTCTTTGCCTAAATAAGATGAAATGTCGGCCATGGCCCTGTGTGCTGTCCATGGATCCAACAAAATCCCCAAACGATCCACCCGATGGAAATGGGAAACGGCTACAGAACATCAGATTCTACTTTTGTCTTCTGAGTACCTTTGTATTGGGCTGCGTGAGCTTCCTCTGGCTTCCAAAGTGGGACTTCAGAATCTTTATGGGCTGTCATGGCTGGGTGCATCGTCGTGGTGCATCTGGCAAGAAGCGTGGCTCTGGGTGCCGGAGGACTACAGACCAGCCTTCATTGCTCAGACATTTACAATCGACCCTGCTTTTGCACTCAGTGTGGTGGAAGGGGCCTACGCAGCCCGCATTAGCCGGTTTGAGGATCTGGAAGCAATGGACTAGTCCGAGGAACAAGCCACGACGGCGAACGTCCCACCTAGGACTGCTCTGTGCCTTGATGATTGGAGGATTGTTTATCTACATGGCTTTGTCATATGCAAACGACCCAGCCACTGTCTGGCCATGGATGGAGTCTTGGTTTCCTGCCGGGGGCTTACAACCAATCAAGCCCACGGAAGCCCCCTCTGCCGCACCGCCTATGCCATTCCTAGACTCGCTTGAGAAAGATAATCAGACGAAGGTGACAGTCAGACACACTCAGCAGATGAGTAGACCTGAAACTAGTGACTGCCAGACACTGCAATGTCTCTTGCCTAGGCGGGAGACTATCCAGCCCAGGTCCGCAACTCAAGCCGACAGGTACTGCCAATGCTGCCAGCGATCATGTCCTGCAATGACAATAGACAGTGGAGGTTCCCCTCCGACATTCAGCCTACGGCTAGGAGGTTCCCCTCCGACACCTTTCCTCAGCTCCTGCCAAGGTGGGGCTCCTGCCTGCTCGCCTTGCAGCTGGACCATGGAAGGACCGCACTCGGTCTATGTGCACCACCAGTCATGCTTGTGCACCTGTTTGGTTGGACCCATGCATGCTGCCCCTCCCACCTGTTGCAGTGATAGCTATCAACCCGCGGCCCTGCCTCTCAAGCTGCACGGTGGAACTAGCTCCATCCACAGGCGGCAGCCAATCATGGATCCACCACGGGATCACCAAGATGATCCTCTCTCTCAGAGAGGACGGAGAATCAAGACTCAGCGCGACTACGACAGGGAATCTCGACGTCCTGACAAACAAACACGGCGAAGACTTAAAGAACAACGGGAGGCTCAGGCTCAGAATGAGAACACCCAGCAGGCGGCCGCTGTCACCGGACAGCCTCCACCCTTGACGGTGTTTTCGCGGAACTGGCAGAACAGGCAGCCCAGACTGGTCCGACGTCCTCCTGCCCCGCCTGCACCTCGCCGTATCCCGAATCCTGTCACCCCTCCGCAGTCTGCGATGGTGGGTCCAGAGTCGGAGCAGGCCGCTCCAGAGTCCCAAGCAGCAGAAACTGACGACGACATGGAAGAGATAGTGGTCGAGGACATCCCTCAGCCAAGGACACCATCTCCAGCCGACGATGCCCTCCAGACTGCCGAGCCGATGGAAGTGGCCACTTCAGTAGCATCACGAGTCTATCTGGAGCCAACAGCCAAGGCTATAGGAGTCGTGGTCACCTCCAAGACGGAAGACACAGGGCCCAACATTCCGAACATGGCTCAGCCAGTCACCCCGCCAAGGGAGGAGACCCTACCTCGGAAGTTCGCGAAGGGCTCGATCGGCAGACAGCAAAGGCAGAAGCAGGCAGCCGCTGGGTCTAAGGCCCGCATGACCCGGTTGCGCTTGTCCCCAACCCAGGTTAGGGCAATGGTGGCTAGGTCGACGGCAGTTAAGAGCAAATGCCAACCAAAAAGGGCAATGGAAGCTCCGGATCATCCGCCAGAGGACGAGCACGTTCCATCGTCAGGTGATGAGCATCATACGAGGGGAACCGATGCCAGTCAGTCAACAATTGAGCTTGTCCTTCCCTCTCCCCAGCAGCGGGGCACTGGTATCGAATTCCATGCGGTTGGTACCCTCAGGCCGCCACCAGCGAGAGTCGCAGCGACTTCGGCTTCATCCTCGGGCCAAGAGGGTCACTGGCTGCTGGATAGAGGCAATGGAGACACTGCCCCGATCCTCCACATGCCAGAATGGGTTTTAACGGCTTTGCGAAGCCCTCCGACTGAGCCAGCTCCTCCGCCACCGGAGGTTCCAGTCAAGAGGCGCAAAAAGCGCTTGGGTAAAGAGCGGACCGAGTGCAGTGAAACTGCACAGGCACCTGCAGAGACGGCGAACCCTGCTGCCACGAGTGATGCATATACGCTGCCTCCCTGCATCATGATGTCTGTGTCCCAAGCATCTACCTGTATTACTCCCATAAGTCCTGTGCAAGTGCCCAGCAAGTGTCGGATATGGCTGCCAATACCCCAGCTACCCTCCCAAGGGCCCCACTGTACCTACCTGCAGGAGCCGGTACCATCTTCGCAACAAGGCCGCTGGTCAGGCACGGCACTCCGATCATCACCCGCCCTGCTACACTGGGAGGTTTCTCCTCCGATTGCTGTTGTTGTACTGAGACTGCTCAACCCCTCTGCTCAGTGGACCCAGCCCTCGGCATTACCCGATGCCCATAGGCACCGCCCCCACAGCCAACATAAGTCACTGACCAGCATTCATGAGTGTGCTCAGCCCTGCATCAGTCCATTCCACTCCTTCACCTGGGCCAGGTCGAGGCAATGCCCTGGCAGGGAAAAGCCCCACAAAGGCAGGACTAAGCAGATGCGGACGCGACAACAGCAGGGACCCTCAGTCGCCTTACTAGACCGAGTGCAGTGTCCCAAGAGGACCACCAAACAACAAGCCTTGTTACAGAGTGAGACTCAGCAGTTGCAGATTGATGCTCTGGCACAGCCCCATCAACTGCCCTCCATGACACCACTTAGTGGTCTGGAGGTTCCCTCCCTTCTCCGCCCGAAGCCTGTGATCACTAGCAAGCCAAGAGTTCTCGGTCTGAAAGATCCCCACGCCATTCTGTCTTTAACTGACTCGGCAGTCCAACTCTTACAGCTACCGAGGCCTGCCCGGCAGACCCTGGGACAGGAGGTGTTACCTCCCAGGCCCGAACAGCACGATGGGTATGGGCATCATGTGCACTGGCTGCATCACCTTAGGCATCAGCTCACCTTCTCACGCTCTGCCTTGCATGGTCCCCGCCTTTCAGCCATCAGGCTCCTGCATGCAGCCCTGCCTAAGCATTATAAGATGAACTTGAGCGATGACTCCGACATGGAAAACCCTGCACCGGATAGCTCGGATCTTGAAGACTTCATCTATGGGGAGGAAACCTCCTCCCCAAATGCTGGCGGAACCGCGATCTCCAATGATGGTGAAGCTCCGCATTCGAGGTTGCCTCTAGCAAGCGGAACCGAAGAAACCGATGCGCCGCCCAGAGTGGGAACGCCGGTGGGAGGGCTTCTCTCTCGTATCCCAGGTCGTCACAGCGGATCGAGCGCCACACCTCCCTTGGGTTTACCTGGATTCAACGAGTCCCACACCTCAGCTGAGGAGAGCTTACCCTCAGGCTTGGATCGCTCTCGTAACCGGAAGAGGCGTGAAAGTGGTAATAACACAAGCCAGTATGGCTCCTCACATCGGTGCGGCATCGGCAGCTTCCACAAATGCGAGAGAAACCACTACCCCGGTGAGACCTCCGGACTTGCAGCAAGACTCGCAACCAGCAGAGAGGACAGTCTTCGAGGGCCCACCGACAACTGTTCGTGATGAGGACTTTCTACCAGGTGATCTTCTACCGATCTCCTCCTCCTCCTCCTCTGCGTCTGCACAGCCTGTGATGGCCTCGGAGAGGCCGCGACCTAGACGTGGCACAGCCTGCGCGAAGCTGCTGGTGCGCTCAGGCTTTCGGTGTAGAGTCTGTTTCAAAATCAGGGCCACAGCAGCCCAGAGCGCTGAAGATCGATGCCAGTGCCTGAAACAGCCTTTGGAAAGCCTGCAACACGCTCAGCACAGACAGCCACAGCCTCTCCGACCAGCTTTGGCCTATACTCCCCTGCTCCTTAAGCCCCATGCCTGTCTGCTTCGTACCTTGGCCCCGGGTAACCCTGGCACACCCTCTTCCTCAACAGAAGTACACTCTACCTTGAGCTCTGACCAGGACACTGGCACAGCCACACCGCCCGGCATCAGGCCACAGCATGGGGTTCAGGATGCAAATCAATGGGGTCGGAAATTTCGTCGTCCTAAACTCAAGCCTGGTTTCAAAAGACATAGGAAATTGGTGTGGACGGTGCTGCGAATAGATACCAGAGCTATAATTCAAGCCACACATCAGCACTTCCGAGCCCTCATGCACAGATTAGAGACGAAACTCCTGTTCAGGCCCCATCACCCTGGACCAGAGCCTTCCGAGCCTCCTGTTTCCCATCAAAAACAAGAATCATGCGTTTCCCCCCAGATAAACAGCGAATGTACACAGATGAGCCGTCCGGGTCCCAAGTCCCGGAGCAGACTGCTGGTCTACAGCCTGTTCATGCAAAGCATTCAGACCTCCACCAGCATGCCTGCAGACGCGAGGGTAGAGGGCATAGTCACGAGGCCCTCAGGAGCTGGCACAATAAGCTCCCACCAGGTTCCAATCAGGCCAGCGAAGCCTAGTGAACCTAGACACCTTCCTAGATCAAGCGCACCCATCCTAGGAACTGTTTACACGCAGCTTACAAAGACTGGAAAACGATCATTCCACAGAGCAGTCAAAACTGCCCGCCTTAAAGGCACGGTCCAATACAAGGGCCGTCAGCATACCCTGCAATCCTTGGGAGCCTCCCACCACCCCCAACAGGATCACGGAGGTTCCCCTCCGCATATCCCAAACAGCTCCCGACCAGCCAGGCAACCGCCCCGATTGAAGGTGATCTCCTGGAACGCTGGAGGCCTCACCACAGTCAAGCTCAAAGAAGTGGAAGCATGGCTTGACTTAAGCCACTCCCGAGGACAGACAATTCACATATGCCTTCTCTTAGAGACACATTGGGCGTTCGACTCTGAGTGGGCGACGGCCTCCTATCATGTCGTACATACCGGCCAGAACAGCAGACAGGCAGGAATTTTAGCCTTGATTCACAGGAGTGTCGTTTCAGCCTCCCAAATCAGGATGAACACCCCCATAGAGGGCCGCCTTCTGCAGATCAAGCTGGATACGGAGCCTAGTGTGCATATTTTAGCCATCTATCAGCATGTCTGGAACGAGGGACGACAACTGGAAGAGACCATGGCAAATCGAGAGAAACTCTGGACACAACTTGCACAACTGGTGCGAGCTGTCCCATGGCGTTCGCAACTACTCCTACTGGGCGATTTCAATGCCCCATGCCTCCCTCATCACCCACATGTGGGAAACAGTGTCATGGCCACCCCCGAAACTGTGCGTCAAAAAGACCAACATCGGCTCCAGCACATCATTACCCATCATGGCTTGACGGCATTAAATACCTGGGGTCGTAAGAAACACTGTCATACTTACCAGTTTGATTGCAAAGCTGGAACTCAGAAGACGCAGATCGACTTCATATTCCTTCGCACCCATCAGGCGGACTCACTAGCCAAGTCCTCGCACACTATTATGGCACCTTTTGTCCCCACTACAGGAATGCGACACTATCCAGTTTTTGCCTCGCTGCCCCGACCTACTCCACCAAAAACCCCTCGCCCATCCCAATCGCCACAAATCAACGCAGCCACAACCACCAAACAGCTACTCGCCGACCCTCAACTAGCCACTCGTTTTCAGTCAGCTGCCCGCAGACTAGCTGCAAAGCTCCCGAGCGGTCAGGATCCGGCCGAGACCATCAACAATCTACTTCAGAAGGCCTGGCAGGAGGTTTCTCCAGCACCTCCGCCTGGCCTCTCCTCCCCGGAAGAACCTCCAGGACTACTCCGCAAACTGTGGGCTTTACGCAAGGCCCGCCGCCATGCTTCAGCCACAGCCTCAGTCCTACAAAGTTGGCTCATGACGGCCCGCATACAGAGACTGCAAAGACACCTCAAAAAGCACTACCTGCAGCACAAGAGAGAAAGGGTAGAAACGCTTCTTAAGGAAGCCGAAGCCACCAACAGACCCTCTGCCATCTTCAGCGTAGTTCGTAGGCTGGCGCCCAAAACCCGGCACATGAGAATACAACTCCGTGGCCCGACAGGGCAACTGCTGGTTGGCGTAGCAGAATCCACCTGCATAGCCCAATATCTGAGGCAGGTTTACCACAGCCAGGACATCACTTGCCCTCCCCCTGTAAATCCGATCACAGGTATACAATTCGATCTGGAAGATGTCCAGAAAGCGCTTGGGAAACTGAGCGCTGGCAAAGCTTTGCCCTCCGCCTTTGCCCCAGCCCGACTCTGGAAGCTGGTCCCAGACATTGTCGGTCCTGCCCTATTGCCATGCATGAACCTGCAAGCATCACAGCTCCTGGAAGCTTGGCATAAGGTCCAACTCCACCTTATTCCCAAGATAGCCATTGTCAAGGAACCGAAGTCGCTACGACCCATAGCCCTACTTCACCCGGCAAACAAGTTGTTGGCAACAATGATAGCAGACAAGATCCTTCCTAAAGCAATGGCCTACCTTGCATCGGTCCCTCAGTGGGCCTACCTCCCCGGCCGATCAACCGCCCAAGCGCTGGAATCGGTATGCTCCCACCTACACTCCGTCCGTGATATGCTCAGCAAACACAGCTGCTCACTCCTGCAGCGCTTTCAAGGTCACCAACCACCGAAGCTGCTCGGAGGCCTATCTCTCAGTTTGGACATCCGGAAGGCATTTGACAGCCTGTCTCATTCTTACCTCGAAGAAGCCATGAGAGAAGCGCAATTTGAGGAAGCTGAAATCGCCCTCATCCTCCACTTGCACTCCCAAGCCTGCATGCAAATCGGTTCCCATACCCACAAGGCGCAGGTTTTCCTTGGCACAGGAATTCGGCAGGGATGCTCCCTTTCTCCCATCCTCTGGGCCCTAGCCACAGGACGCATCTACAGGGAATACTGCCGAAAGCTGCGAATCCAGGGTCTCTCGGAAGGACTCACCAACATTTTTGCAGATGACTTCTTCAGTAGCTGGATGTTTAAAAGCCAGGAAGCTCTCAGCCACGCGCTACAAGCAATGGGAGTACTGATACACACGCTAGAGGAAGCAGGCCTCCAACTTAGTCCTGAAAAGACGGTCATTCTGTTAGCGGCAAAAGGTACCAGTTTAGGCTCGGTGCTAAGCAAGTATAAGAGGGTCATTCAATCAGTGCCGCATCTGGAGATCAGAGTAGGACAGCAACGCTACCACTTCCGAATTGTCCAGTCCCACAAATACTTGGGGGCAAAACTTTCCTACCACGGCTTCGAAAAACTCAATCTCCAACATCGCCTCCACACTGCCTGGGGTTCTTACTGGAGGCTACATCATCTGCTCATCAGCCGATCCCTCAGTCTTCGTCTCCGAGTCAGGCTCTGGCAAGCATGTGTCCTGAGTGTCCTAAGATACTCCCTTCATAGCGTAGGCCTTCCCCCACATGGACACCAGATCATCCGGCAAGCTATCCATAGACAACTGCGCATGATAGCCAGATCACCAGCTCACCTCTGGCATGTCACCTCGCCTGAAATTCTGCACCGCCTTGACTTGCCTGATCCTTGGACATCCCTCTGCCAACAGTTCACGCTTAGTCGATGGCCTGAATCACTGGTGATAACAGCGGCTCATCAGGAATGGCGACGAACCCTGAGTGGCATCTTCTCTGAGACGCCTATGGTGCTGCTCCCTACTGATCCTCAGCCCACCCCGCTGCTTCAGTCAACCAAACCTCCTGACCAACATGCCCTGGATAAGACCTCCTCCTACACGGATCGTAGTGCACATGCACCACGGACCCTCACATGTCCAGTATGCAGGCAGGAGTTCTCGTCACTAGCGGCACTCAGAGTGCATCATAAGGCCAAGCATGAACTCCTTGAAGCCCCCACTGAGCACCAACCCGAGCGCACCGAACTGGGCCATTCTATCCCTGTCACTCGTAACAAGGAAACCAAGCGCTCCTTTAAGGCCCGTATTGCCAAACAGCGCCAGGAAAGGGCACAGCATAAAGCCATTAGCCGAAGGAATGTAGGGTATCATGCTGCCGACGACCTTCTTATGAAGGGACTGCCTGCCTGTCTCCATGGAGCGGATCCGCAGACAAGATTTTCATGGCTCCATGCCCACCTAGGCCTGTGCATATGCCGCCATTGTCAGAGGGCATGTCGAAATTGGGAGGAACTGAAAATTCACATCCTTACCAGATCATGTGAAATTCTCTTCCCTGACTCGGTAACTCTTCTCCCTAGTCAGACCCCTCCCAATCCACTCCCACCCTACTGGCGCTTGGAGATTCAAGAACTGGCTGGCAAGGGATGGGAAAAGGTAGCATTGACCTTGCAGGCGCAAAAGGCAGACTGTTTCCGGTATTGCCCAATATGCGGGCAGTGGCTTATACAAGCACGTGGCATCACACTCCATATGCAAGCTCATCATGCATGGGCAGTGCCCTACTTGCAGCTGGCCCGACGCCGTGCAAAGGCTAACAGGAAAAACCTGGCCCTTAGCAGTGTGAAGTGCCGATACTGCGGAGATCACATCAGGAGCCACCCCACAAAACATGCAGGCGAATGTGGAATGATTGTGTGGTCCTCCATGCTTGAGCTTCTTGTTAGTGCATCCGTCCATGAGGAGTCTCGCTCTGATCATGGACTTGGACGGCGTCAGTCAGGAGGAGCTTCAGGAAGCGGCAGCCCAGCTCGAGCATCTGCAGACCATGGCCCTTCGAGGCTCCCGATTCGGCTCGACAGTGACTCAGCAATGGGAGTCAGCAAACCCCTCACGGCCTCTTTTCAGCCCTCCGAGCACGGAGGTTCCCACAAAGCACCAGGCCAGTCTGACACACACCAGCCCTCTGCAGAACATCGAGCCCTTTCAGGAAGCCTCACCTCCCCACAAGTTCCACCGGCAGAACGACAAGGGCCAAGGACAGGGAGGAAAGGGACAGCGGACCCCGGCCAAAGGACAGCAGCAAGCACCTCCAAAACACCAGCGACGGCAGTACCCACGAGGAGCATCCGGCCTCCAGCTCTACGGGTTCAGACCCGCTACTCCTCAAGGTGGCACAGTTGCTGATGAGGCACACCGATGTGATCAACGGATTGGAACAATCCACCAAATGGATCATGTTCCAGGGCACGGCCCCTCCCCTCACGGTAGTGGACCAGCAGGTGCGAATTGCAGAGGAGTGGCATCGCCTTCAGGAGACCAACCCCTCCCAGATCAGTCAACCGCTGAGAGTGGTTCTATGGCAGACCTGGGCCTCCGAGATGATCGAACGAATCAACCAGCTTTCCTCCGACCAGGCGCACCGCCAGGAAGCGTTGAGGTTGGGCATACTCACGGAGCCAGACTGCTTCAAGTATGTCCGCTGGAACCCCCAGAGCCGGGCCCTCGAACCGGAGAATCATGTGGCACCACTCACGGCCAAGGAGATCATAGACCAGCTCAAAGAAACAATAGTGCTTTGCAAAGAAGACGGCGTCCTCATCAATTACAATCCAAATCGCCGATTGGTTCCGGGAATGACAGGGGCAGCCATCACCTTCCAGGTAGTCCTAGGACTCCGCGATGCAAAAGCCTATCGCATGTGGACCATTCTAGAGAACCTCTCTGGAAACGCGTCGTTGCAACTGACAGCCACAACGCTACGCAGAGAGCGTCGAGGACGCTCACCACTGGCACAGGCCATTGCACAGGAGCTCCGGAAGTCACTTCGAGGCAAATCAGAAGCCTGAGCCTAGCAAATCATGCCAGCGACTGCTACGCCAACGCTGTCCTTTTGTCCAGCCTTTGGACAGCGGCCTGTCACAATCCTACTGAGGTACTCCTGAGCGACAGGATCCATGAGGATATCCGTAGTGCAATTGCAGCAGGCTCTGAGGGTGACTCACCCATCCACATTTGGAGCCGACCGTTCTGGCGCAGGCTTCTTCGCCACTGGCCGGACACAGGAAGGCAACAAGATGCTGCAGAGTTTCTGGGGTTTCTCCACCAGGCAAGTCCGCTGCAGTGTTTTCAGGGCTCTTGGGCAACACTAGAGTGCACCCTGCAAAGCATCATTAACAGCTGGCATGCCCAAGAGAATGCACCAGCCCTTGCAGCAGGTACATCCTGCCTGGTGCTTCAACTGAACAGGTTCCGTACGGTGCGGGGCGTAGTGACCAAGTCGAAAGTTGCTGTAACCCTCCCTCGTACGGTCACAGTTCCCACTTGGAACGAGGGCCGCCTGACCCAGAAACCGTACTTGCTTAGTGCTGCAGTGATCCACTTGGGATCCACGCCTCGCCAAGGGCACTACAGGTCTCTGCTTTTAGACGGCTCAGGCAAAGCGTGGTGGACAGATGATAGGCAACCCGCCGTAGTTCCTCAAAAAGATGATGCTCTATTGATGATGCGAAACGCCTATCTTCTGTTCATGCGCCCAGCCTCGGCTGAAAGGAGTTAGTCAGCTAGTACTCGAGCAGGCTTCTGCAAAAACAGTTCAGCCTAGTGCTCGTAGGCCCTTAGGGGCGGCTAGGTAAACCAAGACTTCCTGCACAACTCAGTGATGCACTCTTACACGGGTATCCTTAGTCACTTGGTGTTCTTCAGGTGCCAAGAAGTCGAGGTGAATAGGATGGGTGGCGACAACACGTCGTCATGCAGCTCAGCTGCCATGCACAAGCATGCCAACACGCATAGCGGATCCGATCTGCTGCGAGCTGAAGTGAAGTGAAGAAGTTCTACTACTACTACTACTACTACTACTATACTACTACTATACTTCTACTACTACTACTACCACTACTACTGCAACTGCAACTGCAACTGCAACTGCAACTGCTACTACTACTGCTACTACTACTACTACTACTGCTACTACTACTACTGCTACTACTACTGCGGCTGCAACTGCTACTACTACTACTACTACTACTACTACTACTACTACTCCTACTACTCCTACTTGCCCCCCCACCAACGACCAGTCGCTGAAACCTTTAAACCCTAAACCCTGTTTGAACAGTACGGAGGAAAACGCACCCTCCACATGTGAAGACAGGGGAGCGAAGGCAGGAAAAACCGGAGCCTCTAAGCCGGAGAAACTGTACTGTGGGGGCTTAAATAAGTACTAATACTGTTGTGGGGGGTTCCTTTAAAGGGTTCCTTAAGGGGTCGATAAAGGATCTATATGATTTCGCGGCCGAAATAATTACCAATGCTATTTTGGGGGGTTTCTTATTATAATTGAAGTATCGCGGGCCCCAAAACCCTATTCTGATTATGAAGGCCTCTACACTATACGCAAGCAACAATCGTCATCATCCTCCTCATCAGCGTTTCGGGTTTAGGGTTTTAAGGACCGTCATCACCAGCACCATCATCATCATCATCCTCAACATCATGGCGCAGGCGCGTCCAGTCCTTCTTGGCCATGGCAGCTCTGAGCGCACGCTGAATTAGCTGCAAAATGCCTGTGTGAGGCTTCTACATTTATCGTTATCCCTCTCCTAGGTCTAGGGTTTAGGCCTTGGGGTGTGTACGTATTGGGTACTTGGGCCACTTTGCAAAGGCGTCAGCCTCAGAAAAAGCACGGGAAACTAAGGCAGACGAATCTTATCCAAAAAACAGACAGCCCCAATCTGAACCAGAATCCCTAAGCCCTTAACCCGGACCCTTTACCCTAACCTTTATGGTTCGTCTATCCTATAGTATCCGTAGTTAGAGAATCCTGGGAGAGGCCCCTGGAGTAGTCGAAACCCATAACAATCTGAGATTCACCCTAAACCCTACACCCTAAACCCTAAAACCTAAACCCTACACCCTAAACTGTACACCCTACACTCTAAACCCTACACTCCTAAACCCACAACCCTACACCCTAAACCCCACACCGTAGTCCGTAAACCAACGCAACACCCTGAACCCTACACTCTGAGCATTAAACCGTACACCATATATTCTTGGTGTTCTTCTGGTGGGCTCTTTAGACTTTAACTTTTTGGGTTTCTATATAACTATAAAAAGGAGGCTAAAAGTTTGACTTTTAGGAGGGGTTCAGAAGTCAGCCAAGTATTAGTAACCGCGAAACCCTAAACCCGGAACAGCGTTTCTGATCTCAGCATCCCGGAGCAGCCAAGGCTAACATAGGGCCGGTATAAGTTCCTTTGGGATTCGGGTTTGGGGGTTCAGAGTCTACGGCTTTAGGGTATAGGGTTTAGGGTTGAGGGTATAGGGTTTTGGGGGTTTTAGGTGTTGAGGGTTTTAGGGCTTCTGGAAATAGCACTACACTGTTTCTTGGGGTACCCTGATTTAGCTATACTCTAAGCTAGTTCTACTCGAGTATCACGAAACAACATCGAGTTGCGAAGGCCCCGACAGTGGGAGCAAGCTAGCATTGAATCCAACAGTCTGTGGGCTTGTTCCATGTAGGTTTGCCACTGTGTATAGGTTTAATGGTTTAAGTTTTGGGGTTGAGGGTTAAAGTTTAGGGATTTGATGCAGTTACCGTCTATTATTGGCCTTGCATTAGGCAGCTACACCGTGCCAACAATTCAATCAAGCACACATGGGTTATGGGGATTTTCTGAATTCATGAACCGGCATGCTTTTCATGGCAATTGACTTGAGCAAGGTGCCCCCGAGAGAAGCCTAGTTTAGAACAACCCTCCAACGTCTAACTTCTCAGCTTGCGTTCATGTCGGCTCCTGGTGCAGCTGATGGCAGGTGATTTAGCTGCAGAGACTTGGGAGCTGGGGTGTAGAATCTGATGGTTTTGGGTTCACGGGCAAAAATGTCAGAGCTGTGCCAGCGGATCGGGAAGATGAATGGGCTTGCAGAACTTACGGTTCTGAGCCCGCACCCTAAACCCTAGGTTTCGTGTACCTAGACCCTAAACCCTCAACCTTAAACCCTTCCGGACCCGGCCGCTAGATCCACCCAGTTTAGGAGCTTGCAAGGCCGAGGAGGCCGAAGACTACCGTAAGAATTGTGAAAAGATTGAAGGCCTGGAGCCCCAAACCGGTTTGGGGTTTAGGGTTTAGGGCTTAGGGCTTAGGGTTTAGGGCTTGGGGTTTACGTAAACCACCCAAAAGCAGGGAACATAATGGCCCAAAATCTATGAGAGGCTGTTGTTTTACATACTTTTGTTGTGGTCCAGGCAGGGCTTAACCAAGGAATTTCCCCATTACAAATACATACATAAATGAGTATATATGCATATGTATATATATATATATACAGATATACATACTTATAGAACCCTGAACCCTGGGTTCCAGCACTGTCTAACTAACACCTATTGTCGGGTGTAGAGTATTGGGTTTCGTATTAGTGGTAGTAGTAGTGGTAGTAGAAGTAGCACTAGCAGCAGGTCGTAGTAGCAGTAGGAGTACGAGTAAGAGCAGGAGTCGTGGTGGTGGCGGTAGTGGTAGTGGCGGTGGTGGGGGTGGTAGTCGTAGTAGTAGTAGTAGTAGTAGTAGTAGTAGTAGTAGCAGCAGTAGCAGCTGGCAGTAGCAGTAGCCGTTGCAGTAGCAGTGGATATTCTCCCTAAAGACGGGAAACCCCAAAACTCCAAACCGCCACACCCCTAAGCCCCTAAACCAATTCTGGACTCCAAACACTCCCCTCAAAACCAAAACCCCAAACTCCTAAACCCCCCCTAACCCCTAAAACATGAAACCCGGAACTCCCAACCTATCCCAGACCCCCCAAAGAATCTATACCCCCAAATTTGGGACTCTATACTACGACAAGGTACTTCATAGGCACCCACAACCACACTTGGAGGCCCAGGGGGCTTAGTAAGCAGGTGTTGATCGTCATGAGCAGGGGTTGCACTTGCCGGGTCCATGCTGCGCAATCTACGTCTCCTTAAACTAAAAATCGTGATTAACAACACTCACACCAAACGCTTCCGAGATCAAGGATTGAGGGGAGGCACACCCACAACTAAGAATGCCCTCTGTCCCCAACCACAACTCGCGGCACCCGCCTACCAACGGACCTAGGGTCCTCACTTCAGTCGGGCACCTTTTGTTCATCTTGAGCCACGATTCGCGTCGAAGCGCGGATGCTGGCTTCTGCCGATTATGGCAAACGACTTCTCTAGAGCAGCCTCTGTGCACATGCTCAAGTTGTGAAGCCTTTCAACAAACTCACATCACTAACACTCCTCCTTGGACGATGGGAGTGCTTGCCATCAGTCCACTCTTCACTAGTCATCCGGAATGTACAGTGGACACCGCTGATAGCAGTAAGCACAAAGGGTCAAACGCCTCGTTCGGTGGACCGCATTTCGCAATCCCCGACAGTTTGGATCATGGTGAATACGACCACCCTGTTCACTGGCAAAGAAGGGACCCGCGTGCTGTCTCATCCCCGCATCATAGGGCTCTGTCTGGGATCCTCGGGTAACCAACTTGGGCCTCAAAGTTGTAGCACGGTCCTCAACACGGGAGGAAGTAGATGATGCTGTAGCAGCCGGTGAAGATGCTGAACTGACCTTCACACCAACCTCTAAGCCGTAGCGACCAACTTCTTCATGAACTACCTGCTGCAGCTTCCTAAGTCTCCGGGCTTCTCGAGATTCATGTAGTTCCCCTGAGCCGCAGCATCTTGACAAAAGCCACTTCAAAAGCTCCCAGACACCAATGGCTGAGATCACCGCCAGGATCGCAAGGCCATAAAGCTCCCAAGCAAAACTCAACTCCAAGCCACCGCCAGGTTCGCTATCAGAAGCCGTAGAACCCCGAACCAGCCACCCAAGGATCAGAGTAAGCCTCGCTAAAACCCCTGCAACTCCATTCATGGCCAAAGTTGCAATGGAAGCCTTCGGGCGGGGGTTGTTGGACTCCTCGGTTTCGAAAGTGCTCTCATCTGTCCTCAAACCCCAAAGCTCACGTAGCTGCTCTAGCCTGGGTTTATGGAAGCACTTGGTTCCCAAATCGCCCAATTGCTTGAGACCTTCAACATGCTGGATCTTCAAGGTCTCCACACGGACTGCCTCCCGCAAAGCAAAGGCTCTCACGCGTAAGTGGCGCGTTTTCCACGTGCCAGCAGCTTCCGTAGTAAGCCCAACGGCAGCTTGATTGTCCACCCGCAGGCAAAGACGTGGGGCGGTAGGCTGAAGCTCCTCTACGAAGCTCTCCAGTCCACTCATAAGCTGAACGCAGTTCACAGCTTCAAGGAGTTCTGCTTCGGCAACTGAAAGAGCAACCAGACTCTGACGCCCACAACGCCAGCTCACCGGGCATCCATAGTAGCAAGCAACTGAGCAACCAACACTTCTTGAACCCGAGGGCGCAAACGAAGCATCGGAGTATCCCAGGACCTCGTAGGCAGCCTCACATGGTTTGTACCACAGACAAACACCAGCAGTCGCCTTCAAATAGCCCAGGACACGATATCCTATACGCTCGACCAGCTCTGGGTTCTTAACGCATAGGGAGGACATGGTGCACACACTGTGCATGATGTCCGGGCGGCTCCGCCCACTCAGCCAAAGAAGCTCGCCAGTCAAGGTTTGTGCCCTTTTTAGCTGTTCCGCAGTGTAATCAACTGGAGACTCATCGCACTCTCCCAAGAGCCATGACCCCTCCGTCACAAAGCTGGATCTCCAGGCCCAAGAACCGAAGCACCGAGCCTTCGCTAGCCCAAGTCAAATCTGAGGCCTTCCACTCTGAAGTAAGCCAAGACTGAACCACCTCAATCACTTCAGCGATCCCCACATAGAGAACATCATCCACATAGATGTTGAGGTATCCCTTAATCTCTGGCTCAGCTCCATCAACCTCGTAGACGATGGACCACACATTGGTATCCGCCCTGCTCTGCCTCAGAACGAGGAAGCCCTGACCGTAGGCTACCTTAGCTCCGCGTAGGCGTCGATCTCGAAACTTGCTCCACAACCGAGGGCTTCGCCGAAAACCATATAGAGCTCGATCTACCCTCCACAGTTGGTAGCAGTAGGGGACCGCGACCAGCTGAAACACTCGCGGAGGGAACAGTCCATACACCGTTCCATCATCCTCTTCTTCTTCCTCCTTGATCGGAGCGAGGATAAAGGCATTGCGGATGTCGGTGGAGGCAAAATGCCATCGCTTGAGGGCCGCAAAGACCAACATTGCACGCAAGGAGTCAATCTGACAACCACCCGCATAGGAATCCTCCCGTGCTTGCCGTCCTTGAAAATTCCCACATATCACCAGACGGGCCTTGCGCTTGACATAGTGGATCGAGCCCTGAGGTAGGGGATTGCCCTCGTCATCATGCGATCTTTCCACATCAGGTGGCTTGGCAGTAAAGACTCCCTTAGCCGGCAACACCACCAATTTTCCGGAAGCCTCCAACCGAGCCTGTTCCTCCGCGGACAACGGGACCAGGGCCCCTGCATCCAGAAGCGCCTTCACCTCCTTGTGCATAGCCTCGGACCAGCGGGAAGCATAATTCTTTACTTCATCCAAAGCCACAGTGAAGACAACCTTGAGAGGCTCCTTCAGTTCTTCCAACATGGTCTCAACACCAAAGGTTTCCTCCTCTGACTCTGTCATGCGACACAGGCCTAGCCACTGCTCTTCATTCCAACGCTCATGAACGCATCGAGTCTCCCGGAAGTGGAGGTTCGTAGCGGCCTCAATGTTCGCCTGGCTCACCCCTTCATACTCTGTCACCAAATCATTGGGAACAACATTCGCGAGCTGCTCCTCCTCATCCAAGACCCGTCGAGTCCACAACCGACTCATCATCTCCTCCTCAAGCTCAAGCTGAGAAAGCATGAAACGCCACGGCGTCCCACAAGGAAACTCACCTCCAGGTCCTGGACCCTCTGGCGACAACGCACACAACGAAGCACTTGGCATTGGAAACCCAAGCCCCTTGAGGCCCTCCACATCATCACTTGACAGTTTCTTCCGGGCTCCAATGGTATGGGCGATCACAGTCCACTTCGGGCCACCGGACCAGGGCATAGTCCGATGCAACTTCTTGGGGTTGATTTGCACAATGCGATTGTGAACTGGGAGGACGTGTCCCTGCAAGATCTCCCCCGGAGAACTCTCAACCGCAACCTTCGCAAAGTCCGTGGCCTCGCCCTCTACCCAAACACCTCCACCTTGAAAGTTACCCAAAGTCAAGACATAGTTTGTAGAGTTGCGGAGGTTAAAGCGATCACTGTGTACCTCGGTGTTCAAGTCACGGGCCACAGTGAGGGAGGTGAACTCACATTGTTCGCCACAGTGCCTCTTAAGAAACTCAGTCAAGTAGAGCGCCAACGAACAGTGTCGCCTCGTAGCATTCGTAACTCCCACATAGGGTCCTCGCTGGTAGGCACCGAGGGTGGTGTGGATCGGAGGCGGGCCGTTTTCCTTCCAAGCGGTAGTTCTCTGCTTCTTTGTCTTCAAGAAGGGTTCCGACTCCAACACGCGAAGACACTCGTCCATGGAGTAACATCCCGACTCCACATACTCAGCTGCAAGACTACCGCGGCTCCTGTTCGATGTCGTAGTAGATGGAGAGGACGATTCAGGCACCTCAAGGTCACATAGTTGAGCACCGTCTGAAACCACCGTCCACGACTCATCATCAGCATCTGAATCAGAACCAGGCGACAGCGCCACCACAGACCTTAAGGCACCCTCAGGTCGTACACCTCCCGAACCATCTGCGGCTCCTGGAAGCAAGCTGGCCCCATTGGCTAGCTCAACCGCTGAAGTTTTCCCCGTCACTCGTCTCGCTGGTAGTAAATCAGGTGGGGAAGATTCAGCCTTCCGATCCTCATCACCATCCGCAGCTCGGTCCTCAAACTGGCGAATGTTCGTAGAGAACCACAGGTTCCCCTCATCTGTGTACACCATATGGCCACCAGGCACCGAGCGAGCTGGTCCTAAATAGACTCCTCCTATCCACTTCGGCTTGAGATCTGGACGCCCAGCTCCATAGCCCTTCCTCCTCGTGAAAACTCGAGAACCAAAACGAGCTGCCGATGGAAACTTCCGGCCCATAGCCATTGCCTGGTGCTGCGACACAGCTGTTTCCGCTGCCAACGGCCACCAAGTTCTGATCACGTCGTCACTGACACCACTCAACTCCTTGGCCTGCGACAAGAGCACCCTGACCCGCATCTTGACATAGCCAACCGCTCTCTCAGCTGTTCCATTCTGCGACGGGTCATCGCCTTGTGTCCGGGACAATTCAATATCCCTGGCAGCCGCCCAATGCTCAAGCGCACTGGATTGATATTCTCGCGCACGGTCCATGTGCAATCGGGCCAATGGAAAGCCGGCACTGCGTAGCTGGATATAGAGTTCTTGAATGGCCTTCAAAGTCTCAGCTTTCTTCCGGGACCGCATCGGCCTCGCCACGTAGATCGACACAAACTCCAGGGGCTCCGCAAGCTCCTTTAACTCCTCCACTTCACGATCGACCGGTTCACCGGGGTCGATGAAACCAACTCCGCCTTCTGGCTCTTCAACAGGAGGTTCTTCATCACAATCAGGCCCAGCATCTTCTAGCCAATCATCACCATCATCTGGACAAGGAACTACCCCTTCTGGCTTGGGAGGTTCAGCAGACTCCTCCTCGGGCTTTGTCCCCGGCAACTTGGGGTGCCTGTAGCAACCAACCAGGAGGTACTTGTAGCCGCCCGCGCCAACATTCCTGAAAGGACCAGCCGTATCAATGGAAAGACAACAAGCCGACGGATGCGAGATGCGTCTGTGAGGCTTCCCGCTGGCCCTTTCAATGCAAGTCCGGCAGTCCTTGCGGTAAGGGAGGTGATCCCGTTGAAGATGAAGCTTCCAATCCTTCACGTCGAACTTGTTCAGCTCCACAGGGTCCCCACCATCCAACCAGGACGATCTCCTCAAGGAGGAAAGGAGCCCTTCATGATTCCTCAGCCCAACCCAGGCCCGAACCGCTAAGGCTATGTTGGCGACCAGCTCCAAGGGCCACACAGAGCCCAGCGTTGCGTCCACACCCACCTTGAGACCACGAAGATGCCATAGATCAAGGTTTCCGCCCAAAACAACCTTCTTCTCATTCATCACAAGCGGAACTTCTCCTCACCGGAGAAGAGATGAACGACCCAACTGTCGCTCTGGTAGAGGGCCTTGCGTTTGGACCGGGACCACGGCATTCCCTTCAGCAATTTCCAACCATCACGGCCTCCTAGAGGAACATGTTCCGGAACGCCCAGAAGAGCTTCTGCATTGACCGTAGAGAACACCGGGTTCTTGTGAAGGAATCCGGCCACATGCGTTCGATCCCCTCCTTCCCTTGCTGCCCGTAGGTGCTCCCTCCACGTCCAAGACTGAAGCCCCTTTTCCTTGATCACCTTGATCTGCTGCTGGAGCTCCTTCACCGTCCTTTCAAAAGACGCCATTCGCTTCTGCTCCAGCTCCGCAATCAACTCCAGGGCTTGGGTGACCGGTAGAACGGGGCAATGGCCTCGCAGTCGTACTCGCAATCGTCCGTGTACTGGGTGGATCACGGTGAGCTTATTGGGTTCCCACGAAACCCGACACCCAAGTAGTTGCACCAGCTGCCCCATTGGCAATATTGTGCCGTCACCACTGTTCTCCATCAGGAGAGTGCCTCCTGGGTTCTGGGGTATGGCTCTTTCCTCCCCGGTCGCCAATGAAACTCCCACACGTCGTGCTCCCTCCAGCTCCGAAGCCGAGATTGGCGGGCGGTAGGCATGGGAGGCTCCGCTATCAAGCAACGCCTCTTCCTCTTCTACATCGCCTCCACCGATCACCGTAGAGGAACTCAATCGCGTCTCATACCAGGACAAAGCGCTCGTAAAAGCGGAAGTGTCCTCAGCGGGGTTCCGAACCACCATCACCTTCAGTCGGCGCACTTCATCCAACTGCTTCTGTATCATCTCCAGAGGGTCCAACGGAGCAGGAGCCTGACCGGCCCCAGAAGCTTGCTGAGTTGCCAACGACTTAAGCATCTTGTTGGTTTCCGTCAAGATCTCCGTGACCCGAGCGGCATCAATTTTGTTGTGAGCACCGCCAGACGCTGGTGGGGAAGCCGAAGACGTCGACGAAGGCTCCATGGCAGGCTCCATTGCAGTTGTGGCCGTTCCAGTCGGTGGGGCCGGAGTAGTAGCCGAAGTTCCCGCCTGGACCTTCGCCACCCGGGCAGCCTGCTGCCCCTTGTCCGCTGGAATCGCAGTTCCACCGGCGGTGCAATCCTTAGCCCTGTGCTGCTTGGAGCCACAAAGAAGGCACCTTTCGCCACGGTTGAGGCCGCTCCATTGGTGCTGAAACGTGCAATTCTTTCCGTTGCGACACCCAGCATCTGAGCTGAACCACGAACACACCTTCTTCCCGGGCCCCGCCTTAGGCTTAGCCTTAGCCTCCGGCGCTGGTTGGAGGCCCTTCAGAGAAGCTCCTCCCGCGCCCGTCGGGGTGGTAGTAGAGGAAGTGGGCGCCGTAGTTGTAGAGGCCCTGGTGGTAGTTCCCGTCTGGGACTTTCGAGCAATGGCACCAAGCTGCTCGAGTTCCGCCAGCAAGTGCTGCAAGTATCGCATGACGTTCTCTTGCGTGGGGCGAGTGTCAATCTGCAGCTCCGTCCTCGCCAGTGCCAAGCGAAACTTGAAGTCCGCATTCTGCTCCGAGGTCTTCTTCACGATGACTGAGAGCGACTTCACCTGCAGCGACTCATCCGGAAGGGTCACACCCAAGTCTGAGGCCCTCTGCAACAACCGGTACCATCGCCTTATCGCTGCTGTAGCCTCTGCCGGCCCCGCCGCCGACTCCGTCACATCCAACTGTCTCAACAGCTGAGCACGGTCTTGGGCCCCTCCAGGCTGAAAGATCACCATGAGCCGGTACAGGATCTGGTGAACGCCCTGCACCCTGTACGCTACAAGGTCATCTCTGACCCCCTTGGGAAGGGAGGCCAGCACCAAGGCCGCCACCTTCCTCTCCAGCTTCTTTACTTCTCCTCCTTCAGGTCATCAGGGAGGGTTGCGACCACCAAGTCGCCGAACTGGAGATAGCGTCTGGTACTCCGCATAAGCAACCTGAGCAGCCCGCAAAGTTCGGGCCCACCAATCTCCAGCACCCGAAGCTAACGTTCCAATCTGCTGCTCCGCAAGGTACAAGTAGTCCTGGAAGTCAATGGCCCCGGTCTCCGCCGTATACTCTGGTAACTTCACAAGCTCGCTCACTGCCTTCGGCTCCAAATCCATCACATCACTCTTCTGCTTCAACAGAACTTGTTGGAGCTGACTCATGCCAGTGATCAGAACATCAATTGGCGAAGGGCCCGCAGGCTCACCAGAGCTTGGGGCGGTACCTCCGGCAGGCGTCGGCGCCGCAGGATGCGGGGTCTGATTCGGAACAGCAGGTCCCTCTGTTTGAAGTTCCAGTCCAGGCGGTCGCTCAAAGCCGTAATCGCCGTAGGTCTGCGAGTCCTTGTAACCAGGAGGACGGTATGCAAGATCTACCGGAGGGACACCCAAACCGCCATCGACAAACTCAGGACCGCTGCCAGTACCCCGCCTTCTCAAAGGTTTCCATTGGGACTGTCGTCCACCTCCGCCACCAGTTCTGGTAGTAGGGGAAGAAGCTCGTTGGGCCGTTCTTCCTAAAGGCGATGACTTCCGGTCCACACTCGCCGTCCTGGGGCCTCCACCAAGACCTCGATCTTCATTGCGACGCAGTCCTTGAGACAGAGACCTAAGACGACTTCCCTGTCCAACGCCTGAAAAGTTACCATCACTTCCACGAAGTCCAGAGCTAGACTCTTGCACATTAGCCCGATGCCCAGGTGATACTCCAAGACCTCCTTGAACACCGGTAGGATCTGCCCTAGGTACTCCGAAGCCTGTGACTGGATCATAAGCCCGATGCCCAGGTGATACTCCAAGACCTCCTTGAACACCAGCAGGATCTGCCCCAGGTACTCCAAAGCCTGTCGCTGAATCATAAGCCCGATGCCCAGGTGATACTCCAAGACCTCCTTGAACACCAGCAGGATCTGCTCTAGGTACTCCGAAGCTAGCCGCTGAGTCATAAGCCCGATGCCCAGGTGGTACTCCAAGACCTCCTTGAACACCAGCAGGATCTGCTCTAGGTACTCCGAAGCTAGCCGCTGAGTCATACGCCCGATGCCCCGGTGGTACTCCAAGACCTCCGTGAACACCAGCTGGATCTGCTCCAGGTACTCCGGCATTGGTAGCGGAGCCCGTCCTGATTTGACTGGGCGGCTGGCTGCCGCGCTCAGGTGGAATTCCTTGGCCATCGTCGGGGCCTCCAAGTTGCTCCGGCCGCTGTGCCGCACCATTGTCGACAAAGTAGGCCTGACGAACATCACGAAGATCATGAACCGTCCTGACACGAACATCTTCACGCAATCGGCGGTTCTCCTCCTGAAGCTCCTCCATACAACGTCTCTGGGACTCCAGTGCCTCTTGAACCTGTCGGCGTACTTCCTCCTGGACCACTTCCCTGGGTATCGAAGCAGACGATCCAGGGTCTGTCGCCGGGCGCTCCGGCTGGGGCCCATACAGAAGGGGAGCCCTCTGCACGAGGCCCTCTATCATGCGTCGAGCTCCCGGTCCAAACAGCGGGGGATCAGGCTCCCCTCTTGACCCATCACCAATCGGAGCTGGAACAAGATCCGAAGCCAAACCACGACGATGTTGAGGCGAGGTGGGCCTTGACGTATGTTGAAGCCGCTCCTGGCTCAACACTTCACCGCCCGCACTCATCACCTGCTGCCGCGTCAGCGTTGTTCTCGTTTCCACCGCTCCAGGTACATGCGTCCTCAAAAACTCTCCAAGCCTTGAAACCCACGAAAACGTAGTAGGCGAAAACACAGGGGATCTCGAAGCTCCACCCATATTGACATGTTCTTCCCTTACGGGAGCCGGTTGAGCTGGCCAAGCTTCTGAGAAAAAGGCCGGTCGAGCGCTTTCCCCTTGGTCCGGTGCGTAAGCCATTCCAGTGGCCCACGGCGACCCATTCAGCGAGTCCATCTCAACACCATCAACTGAAGGTCGTTGCACAGCTGCAGGGGGAACACCATTTGGCAAAGGCAGCGAAACGGCTGGCCGAGGCCTGCTGGTGCCCTCGTAGTTGGGCCCCGCAACTTCTCCTTCCATAAGCAGCTGACCCGTGTGCCGCGGAGTTGGCTGTGCAGTTTGGGCATGCATAACCTGTTGATCGTCATGAGCAGGGGTTGCACTTGCCGGGTCCATGCTGCGCAATCTACGTCTCCTTAAACTAAAAATCGTGATTAACAACACTCACACCAAACGCTTCCGAGATCAAGGATTGAGGGGAGGCACACCCACAACTAAGAATGCCCTCTGTCCCCAACCACAACTCGCGGCACCCGCCTACCAACGGACCTAGGGTCCTCACTTCAGTCGGGCACCTTTTGTTCATCTTGAGCCACGATTCGCGTCGAAGCGCGGATGCTGGCTTCTGCCGATTATGGCAAACGACTTCTCTAGAGCAGCCTCTGTGCACATGCTCAAGTTGTGAAGCCTTTCAACAAACTCACATCACTAACAGCAGGTTATACGTAGGGTTAGAACTGGGGTAACTCCATTTAGGGTACTTATAACCCTACATATATAACCTACTTACTACGTCCCCTGGGCCTCTAAGTGACCCTAAAAGGTCCCTTATAGAACTCTTATAAATCCCCTTTTAAAGAGCCCTTTAAGGAACCCTTTAAGGAACCTTACTACGTCCCCTGGGCCTCTAAAAGAAACCTAATCCCCCCCTTTCATAGAACCCTTATAGATCCCTTTTAAGGAACCCATAGAACCCTTATGGATCCCTTTATATCCTACCTTACTAAGTCCCCTGGGCCTCTAAGCAGGTGACTGTGCGGATGCGCAAAGGCCTGCACTGGCCGAGTTGGTCCAGGGCTTCGTCCGCCGGCTCTGCTTGAAGGCTCCTCCTCGGCATAGGGTTTAGGGTTTAGGGTTTAGGGCTTAGGGTTTAGGGTTTAGGGTTCAGGGTTTAGGGTTCAGGGTATAGGGTTCAGGGTTTAGGGTTTAGGGTTTGGGTATCCGTAACGGTTCTTTTAAAGGGATCCATAAGGGTTCTGTTAAGGGATCTACAAGGGTGCAGGGATGAGGGTTCGGGGTTTAGATTTTCAGGGTTTAGGGCTTTGTGGATTCGGGTTTAAAGTTTGAGGGCTTGGGGCTTTGGGTTTAGGGTTTCGGGCTGTTATGAGGATTTGGCAGTTTACCCAGACCCCCGAAAGGATAACAAGTAGATCTCTTCAGTGGGCTCCTATAAAGTACTTTTTCGGAGTATGGGTCCCAAATGTGGTGATATCGATTCTTTTGTGGGTCTGGGGTAGGTTCCGAGAAGTGATGGGATTGATAGTGCTGATACATGCGATCGCCATGTGTACCGTTGTCACCATCGTGGCACCCCAGCCCCAAACACTAAACCTTCACCCTCCTAAGCACTCAGCCAGAGTAGGAAGAAGAAGAGATGGGCTAACTAGGGCTAACCCTAAACTTCGTAAACACTAAATCCGAAGCCCTGAACCTCCTAAGCACTAGTGGGAAGATGAAGAGACATGCCGTACTGCCGTGCCTTGAGGCCTCGGTAGCTGCATCGCAGCCGCCCCTCCTGGCCTTTGGGTAGCATTTAGGGGCTCAGGGGACGTAGCAAGTACTTGGAGGGTTGGGGGACTTAGTAAGTAGTTATTCTAGGGACTTATAAGTACCATAAGGGTCCCTTCTAGGGTACTTATAAGTCTAGTTACTACCTACTTACTAAGTCCCCCGACCCTCCAAGTAGGGTTCTGATTAGTGTGGTAAGCCCCATCATTGGTGTTATCCAGGCTATCACTTTACTTGGGTTTAGGGTTCAGGGTTGAAAACTTACGAAGGCCATTGGGCCTTTACTCAAGCTTCGTTTTGTATTGTTTTTACTTTCTTGTTTTTGAAGGGGGGGGTTTAAGGGGTTTTGGTCGGGTGTTGCTGCTTAGGGGTTCAGGGTCTGTTTAGGTTAGGGAGAGGGTCTTGAGGCTCAGGGTTTGGGGTTCGGGGGGTTTAAGCGTTTGCCTCAGGTTTGAACGCTTGTAAAAAAGCATAAATATAAATAAATATATAAATAAATCTATAAATAAGTTTATATATATATATATATATATATATATATATATATATATATGTAGTTTTTTTTGGAGGGGGGGGTTTGGGATTGGGCGTCTGGATACAGGAGCCTCAGCTTCGACCTCATACAGCCTTGCAGAACAGCCCCGTATTATAGCTATAGTAAAATTTTCCCCCAAACCTTGTTCAATTCTTCGATTTCTTAAGGACCCCACACCCTAAACCCTAAACCCTAAACCCTCAACCCTAAACCCTAAACCCTAAGCCTCTTAACTTCTTCAGCCCCCTGCTTTCTGTGGGTCTGCAGCTCGTGGCATCCAGAGCTCCGTCGTCTGCGAGTCCCGAAAGTCTTCGCTGTGCCCGCGCGATTCCTAAACCAACCCTAAACCCTGAAGCCTAAGCCCTGAACCCAACCCTAAACCCTAAACCCAATGAGCAACCCGAAAGCCTACATCCGAACATGAAGCCTCGTTGAGAGAGCTCGGGCATCTGCATGCCTTCGTGCTTGTCTGTGTGTTCAAGTCATACCAGTATATGAGTATATAGACACATAGGTGTGGCATATATACATATGTATGTATGTATGTATGTATGTATGTATGTATGTATGTATGTATGTATGTATGTATTGTATGTGTACATATGTATATATATATATATATAGATGTATATATATGTATATGTATAATATGCACACACATATGCACCACAGTAAACAGGCAAGCTCGCAGAAGATGAGTCAATTCACGTATATGTGCATGTATGGGTGTACGCATGTATACAGACGCACGTACACGCACATATATGTGAACATGTTTATGTATACATGTCTAACATGAGCATGCCGAGTAATGGTTACGCTGCTGGCTAGGGGCTTTAACAATTAGATTAGAATTTTAAACTATATTTTTGCTCTCCTTCTTATGCGGCGGAGCCCCAAGACAGTATTGCTAATTATGGAGGACAGCGGACCTCGAAAGCCCTGCTGCCATACAGCTATGTCGAAGTCCCAGACTTCTAAAGCGGAACCTCATCTAGACTCTAAATCCAGCGGCATACTAGTGAAAGTCTCCATTGTAGTTCCTTCTTACATTCCGGATCATATACACTAGCCCCCAAAATCATAGGGATCCTTAGGGGTGTAGGGGGAGGGGGGGGTAGGGGGCCTTAAGGCCCATAATAAGGACTAATAAGGCCTATTTAAGGAAATATAGTCCCCTACACCCCTCCCCCCTACACCCCTAAGGATCCCTATGATACACTAGCCCCCAAAAGGGAGCTTCAACGGAGTTTTACAGCCCTTATCCCCCAGGTCCAGGGTCCTAACTCCTGGGGTTGGGGTTTAAGGTCGAAGATGAGATCCTAAATCGAAGCCCTAATCGGTTTAGGGTTTAGGGTATTAGGGTTTAGGTTCTAGCCTTTCGGTTCAGGGTTTAGGTTCAGGGTTCAGGGCTTAGGGTTTACGGTTTAGGGTTAGGACTCAAACCGAGACCGCGATAGTAAAATCCCTCAGAAGCAGAGGCGGCAGATCTGCCGCTGGGCCTCACACTGGGAGCTCCCCGCCGGGATCCGGCCAGCTTGCAGTGGCAACATGTCCGCGAAGGGTTTCGGTCTAGGGGTTCAGGTTTTATGGCTTACTATAGGGGCCTTAATAATTAGAATAGGGTTTGGGGGCCCACTTGTTCTGTTTGGGTTTAGGGTTCAGGGTTCACCGTCAGTGGAAACATGCTTGCGAAGGGATAATTTTTTCGTGTGCTACTCTGCAGGCCTTCGTTCAAACCCGAAACCCTCCTTAAAGGCTCACGGGAGTTGGTATGTCAGGTTATAAGTAAAGTGAAACATAGGATAACCATACTTAGGGGACTTATAACCCTAATCATAACACTACTTGCCAAGCCCCATGAGCCGTTAAGTGACCCTAAACCCTAAGCCATCCTAAGCCCTGAACACCGGGTTCTCTGAAGATCCTAGAATATGGGGGCATCTCGTACTGAGGCCTGCGGGTAAGGTTTTATTGGCTTCAGACCCTAAGTCAAGGGCTTTTGGGTTCAGGGTTTAGCAGTTTAGCTTATCGGGTTGAGGGTTTAGGGTTACGGGTTTAGGGCTTGGGGTTTTTGGGTCGAGGGTTTAGGAGGGTATAGGAGGTGCAGAGCATGCGCGTATATGGCTTCAGACCTTATGTTAAGGCCCCCTGCGCTTCCTACCTAAAGCCACAAACCCCCAAACCCTGAACCCTGGAATCCCCACCCATTATCCTTAAGTGAGGATCATACCTTAGATATCTGCAAAACAAACAAAGAACCCTAAGCCCGAAGCCCAGTACCCTACCCAAAAAGCCCTAAACCCTAAACCCTAAACCCAGTACCCTACCGAAAAGAGCCCTAAACTCTAAACCCTAAACCCTACCCAAAAAAGCCCTAAACGTGGAGTTTCTGGCCCAGATCTAGGCTTCTTCAGGGCGTGGCCGCGGACGCGACAGCCGAGGCAAGTCTGTGAAGTCGGAGCATTTCAGGTGTTTGAGAGTTTGGGTATAGGGTTTAGGGTTTAGGGTTTGGGGTTTAGGGTTTAGGGTATAGCAGTGTAGCGTTTACTTAGCAAGCATCCCAGCAGGTGCTTTACCCCAAACCCCAATGCCATGCAGTAGAGGCCCGAAAGTTGGAACATCAGTATCCTCATGCCCTTAGGGTGAAGTATAGGGGATCCCAGCATGATTTATCCTAAACCTAGGTTCCAGCTTTCTGGTGATCACTACAAGTATATTCAAGTATATTCTATATTATTGAAATATATCTTCGGTTCCATTAGAATATACTGATATTTCTGCTTGTCCGTGTATCTTTCTCAACCTATCTACACAACTGAACTCTATCTATGTTATATACTGCAGTGCAGGTTCTTAAGTGCCTTGACTTTTCTCCACTGGAAAACTTGAACCCTGAATCATAAACCCTGAGAGCCCCAAGCCCTAAACCCTAAATCTCAAGCCTTAAACCCTACACCAGAAACCCTGAAAGCTCTAAGCCCTAAACCCTAAATCCTAAGCCCCAAACCCTACAAGCACACTTGGAGGCCAGGGGACTTACTAAGTAGGTTATAAGTAGGGTTATATTTAG